TCACTTTTGAGGAGAATGAAGTTAGCTCACTTTCCCTCACCTCCCCCTTTTCCACTCCATTGTAAAAACTTTTTCTTACCTCTTTTATGTGAGATGATTTACCCCTTTCTACCTCTCCCTTTCCCTTTCTCCCAGTACATTCCTGTCTCACCTCTTAATTGTATTTTTAAAGATATCATCCCTTCATAATCAAATCACACCTGTGCCCTCTGTCTATCTATACTCCTAACTACTCTAATAAACAGAAAGGTCTTATGAGTTACAAATATCATCTTTCTCTATAGGAATATAACCAGTTTAACTTTATCGAGTTCCTTATGATTTCCCTTTTCTGTTTATCTTTTTATGCTTCTCTTGAGTCTTGTATCTGAAAGTCAAATTTTCTATTCAGCTCTGGGCTTTTCATCAAAAATGCTTGAAAGTCCTTTATCTCATTGAATTTCCAATTTTTTCCCTGAAGGATTATATTCAGTTTTGCTGGGTAGGTGATTCTTGGTTGCAATCCTAGCTTGTTTGCCCTCTGGAATATCATATTCCAAGCCCTCATAGTCTTTAATGTAAATCTTGTGTTATTCTGACTGTGACTCCATGATACTTGAGTTGTTTCTTTCTGGCTGCTTGCAATATTTTCTCCTTGGCCTAGGAACTCTGGGATTTGTCTATAATATTCCTGGCAGTTTTCATTTTGGGATTTCTTTCATGAGGTGATTGGTGGATTTTTTCAATTTCTATTTTACCCTTTGGTTTTAGAATATCAGGGCAGTTTTTCTTGATAATTTCTTGAAAGATGCTGTCTAGGCTCTTTTTTTTGATCATGGCTTTCAGATCATCCAATAATTTTTAAATTATGCCTCCTGGATATATTTTCCAGGTCAGTTGTTTTTCCAATGAGATATTTTACATTATCTTCTATTTTTTCATTCCTTTGATTTTCTTCTATTGTTTCTTGATTTCTCATAAAGCCATTATCTTCCAATTTGCTCCTTTCTAATTTTTAAGGAAGTATTTTCTTCAGTGACCTTTTGGACCTCCTTTTCCACTTGGCCAATTTTGCTTTTTAAAGCACTCTTCTCCTCATTGGCTTTTTGGATTTCTTTTACCATTTGGGTTAGGCTATTTTTTAAGGTGCTATTTTCTTCAGTATTTTTTGGGGGTCTCCTTTAACAAACTGTTGACTCATTTTTTTCATGATTTTCTTGCATCACTCTCATTCTTCTTCCCAATTTTTTCTTCTACCTCTCTTGCTTGATTTCAAAATCCTTTTTGAGCTCTTCCATGGCATGAGACCAATATGTATTTTTCTTGGAGGCTTTGGATGTAGGAACTTTGACTTTGTTATCTTCTTCTGAGTGTGTGTTTTGATTTTCCTTGTCACCTTAATAACTTTCTACAGTCAAAGAATTTTTTCATCGTTTGCTCATTTTCCCAGCCTATTACTTGATTTTAGCTGTTTGTTAAAGTAGAGCTCAGCTTCCAGGTGGAGGGCACACTGTCCCAAGCTTCAGGGATTTTGTGCAACTACTTTCAGTGATACTTCCAAAGACCTGTAAATTTTCAGTTCTTCCAAGGTGTTATGATCTGAGGATCTCCTGGCCTGTGTTCTGGTCTGTGAGGGATCACAAGCATTCTTTTCTGCCCTTTAAGGAGGGTCCCCTCTCCACTGTGGCCCAAAGCTCTGCTACACTAGTGTTCCTGTTCACCCTGGGACTGCCACCCAGGGTTGCGACAGGGAATCGAGTATGGGCAAATCAACAGAGTCCTGCCTCAGTGCTAGCAAAAAGGCTCTTGTAATCTCCTTCTGAACAGTTGTTCGACCCCCTTACTCTCTGTGGTCTAAGAGCTCCTGAAGCATCTGCTGCTGCTGCTGAATAAGTCATTCCCAAGGCCTGCTCCTGGTTTACTTGGGCCAGGTCTGTGCTGGCAGGACTATGCTGGGCTTTGCTCCCCTCTCACCCAGGTGCAACAGACCTTTCCTGTTGACCTTTTAAATTGCCTTTGGCAACTGTGGGCTAAGAGGTCTGGAAGCTGCCACTGCTGCCAAGTGATTCAATCACCCCAAGGCCTGCTTTGGGCTTGCTGGGGCCTGGTCTGTGCTGGACCACACTCCTCTCTCATCCTGGTGTGACAGACCTTTCCTGCCAACCTTCCAAGTTATCTTGGGCTGGAAATTTGTTTCACTCCATCTTTTGTGGGTTTTGCTGCTCTAGAATTTGTTTAGAGTCATTTTAAAAAGGTTTTTGGAGGGATTTGGGGAGGATCTCAGTCAAGTCCCTGCCTTTTCTTAGCCATCTTATCTCTTCATCTGTTTCCGTAGACTCTTACCATCCTTAAAAGAGCAGTGTTAGAGTCTGTGTTCTTATCTACATATAACTCAAGTATCTTCCTTAAGGGGTGGGGGTGGAAAACGATTTCTCACCTTCTGGTCAGTTTGGAGATTCTATGAGATGGTGATGTTCCAGAAAGATTCTGTTGATTCTGCCCCCTCCTCTCTTAGATCCCACTTCATCCACTTAATCCTTTTCTAAAATCTTTGCTTTCCCACCTACAACTGTGCTCTTAGTTTTTTTTCTGATGGTCCCCCAGGCTAGCCTTGATACTGGATATTAATCACTTAAGGTAAAGTAGGAAATCTTAAAAAAAAACCTAATATGATTAATTTCAACATTGGATGCTTTTTGAATATCTCAATTCATGAATTTATTTTCTTTCTCTGATACGTAAGTTGAAATTCCATCTTTATCTGTGATATAACCACTTTTTACAAACAGGATTATTCTGCAGCATGGACTATGTAATGATGGGCTGATTAAGATTTTACTAATTGAAGTATTATCTATTGGGGGCATTCTGAATGATGTTTCTGACTTTTAAAAGGTAACTAGAACATATAATAATTAAATTTGAGAATATTTCCCCATGAGGTAAACGTGGTTTAAAAACAATGCTTAATGCAGAGTATAGCCAGTGTGTATATATAATACTAGATGTGATTACAAGTTTTTTAAAAAAATCATTCTCTGCTTACTGTATATTCTACAATTATAGTTTCCTTAAGTTTTCAATATCAGACATGTAATTTTCCACTTAAACAATTGGGATTGTTTAATCCCACATTTGAAATTGTATAACACACAATCTAACCACATTTTTTTTTTATTTTTTCAATCCAAAGATAATTTTCACACAATCTTATTTGGATCATAAGATCATTTTGGAGCTGGGAAGGGAATGTTGCCTCCCAAGTTTCTACCTAACAATTGTACATACCCAAAATAAAACAAACTAAAAAGCCATAAACAAAATCTCAACCTAGTTATTCTAACTTGACAGACAAAAGAGTCTTTGTCTTCTAAATAAACACTGATGGTGTTTTCAGAGGGTTAGCATCACATTAGGGTCAGGGATAAAGGATTTTGTTCTTCTTGTTCTTGTTTTTTAACACAAAGCTAATAAAATTCTTACTTCTGGGAGATACAATCCAGTTGAGACAAGAGAAAGAAGCATTCAAGTGCTCATAGGATCATAGGGTTAGAGCTGCAAGGGGCCCTAGAATTTCTCCAGTCTGCACTTTTCCTTTTCTAGATGATGAATTGAGGCCCAGAGAAGATATGACTTACCCAAAGCCATGTGGAATAAGTAACCAAGGTGGAATATGGACTCCAAATTCTGTGCTCTACACTGTTAGCCTTATGCATTCTACACTTAGTCCAGTGTGAAAGAGTGAATCTCATATAAGAATGTTGTAAATGGTGAATAGAAGCTCTTTTGCAACATTTATCCTTGAAAATAAGAAACTTTTATTTATGGCAGCTTCATTTGTATCTGTAGCTACTCCTTTACAATACCCCTTTTCAAAATATGCATAGGATTATAAGAATTTTTTGGAGTTATGCCTCCAACTGCTGGGAAGGAATAATATGTGGACCCAGTTCATTAGTTTGCTGTTGGAGGGAGATGCCCAAGAACAAAAGCTCATAGAGATAAGTGCTATGGTGACATCTATAGCAACAATTGCAATGTCCTGGTTTTGTTCAGGTTTTGCATCACTGTGTGATAAGCTGTGTACAATATTGAGCATTAATAACTTTAAAAAAAGACTTGCAGGTGCTAAGTCAGACCATTGGAAATGAGAGAGTTTTCGCTTTTCACTGATTTCCTCTGTTTCCTTTCACAGATATGCCAAAGCCTCCCAAAGAAGATCTTTTCATCTTACCTGATGAGTATAAATATCCATTGCGGAACAAGCGTTCTCTCCTGAAAACCCACAAAAATAATGAACTGAATGTGGAAACACTAGTGGTAGTTGACAAAAAGATGATGCAAAACCATGGTCATGAAAATATTACAACATACGTCTTGACTATACTCAATATGGTAGGATAGCACTTCTTGTTGAGGCCAACTGGGTAATTAAATCTTTCCTAATATCTGTCATATCACTAAATTAGCATTTGCCATTCTGTTACTTTACTTGGGGATTCATTTAGCAATCATAAGAAAGCTTTCTTGGTGAATTTAACAAATTAAATTCAACAAATATTAAAGTACCTATTATATTCATGACATTGGAGCAACAGCAATTTAATAAAAGTATACCTACCCTCAAAGATCTTATAACCTTAGGGGAAATGAGACATATACACATATAATTATAATACTATAAGTACGTGAGAGAGGTTGAATAGAGTGGCATGAAATTTGAAGAGGAATGGAACTATTTGAATTTGGCTTGGGACTTTGTGAGAAAGTAACAATAATTATAATACTATAATCATCTTAGCTCATATTTATAAAGCATTTTAAAGTCTTTAAGACACTTTTCAGATGTTATCTTATGCATTCTTACAACAACTCTGTGTGGTACATGCTAGCATTATGTCTATTTTACAGATGAAGACTCAGACTGAGGCTTAAATGACTTGTCCAACATCACATAGCTCATAATACCATAAGGCAAGATTTGAAACTTGACCTTCCTGGCTACAAATACATTACTGTAATAAGTTCAGCAGTAAAGAAAGAAAGGATTGTAGTAAGTAATGGGGGAGAATGTTCTACGTGGAGGTTCACCAGAATAAATGCCTGGAGGTAGAAGATGGCAGGACAAAATGTGGGAACTGCAGGTAGGACAGTTTCATTAGAATGTAAAGTCCATGAAGAGGAGTGGTGTGAAATAAGGTTGGAAAGATAATTTGGAACCAGATAAAGACCTTGAATGCCACGCTAGAGAGTTAGCATTTTATATTATAGATAGTGAGAGTTGCTGAATGTTTTTGTGTAGAAGAGTGATGTGATTAGGTCAACAGTGTGAAAGGTGTGTTGACATAGGGAGAGACCAAAACCATAAAAAAAAAAACTAGGTGGCTAAAATTAAAGAAAGCCCAGTTTATGAGATATTGAACCAGGGTGTTTACAATGGGAACAGAGGTGAAGATGGACATATGATATATAAGGAGAATTGACACACTTAGCAACCAATTTTATGTGAATCAGAGCTGATTCATTTGCAGGTTTCTCTATTCTAGAGAGCTGTTTGTCATTAACTGAAGGGAATTAAATTGGGAGAAATAAATTGAGGAAAAATCTGTGTAACCACAATGACTTCAGTGTTCATGAATACTAAACTAACAAACAAACAAACAAAAACAAAAAACAAAAATACTCTTGACGGTAAATTCCAAGAAGAGGTTGAAATTTTTGAAGTAAAAATATTTCTCCTTTAAACTAGCAAATAGTATGCATAGATATTTAAATGTCTTATGGCTCAACCATTCTCCGCCTTCAAAACAGAAATGCTGAAAGCTTGATGAATGCAACTTAATTTTTATTATTATGTAAGGACACCTTTTTGTGCTCAAGATGCCTTTCTACTGACCTTAAAGTGTATTAGGTTCTCAGTAAAAGCAGCACCACCTCATTCTTTCTTTTCTTCCTGCCTTCTTTCATTCACCCAAAAAGTATTTATTGAACACATTTTGTGTAAAAGATTGTCAAGAAATAAAATTTTCCACATAAGTGAATTTTCCAGATAAGAGAACTTTAATTCTTTAAGTACTAACACTTTTTATCCCAACCACTTTTAGTGGAAATGCTGTTTTAAAATGTTAGTCATATTTTCTTGCCTTAGTAAATAAATAGAGTTTATTGGAAATAGTTTTGTCTTTTCTTGATGCCTCAAGATCATCACTGTGAACATCCATTATTGTACTTTCGTAATAGAGTGATGCCCTCTGGAGCTCATAAAGCAAATTTCATTATGTACCTCATTAAATATCTGCACAAAATGCAGAACTTGCCTATATATAGTGCCCTCTTCGAGGTGCCCTCAGAGACTACTGTGATATACAAGACTATTTAGCTTCAATTCTTCAGAATCATGATGCCTCTCTCCATGTGTCTCATCTTTTCTTCTTTTGTCAGTTCTTACTGCTGATGGAATAATTGCCACTCACTACTGTCAAAAGGGTTTCTGATTTCAATAACTTCTGATGGGTTGATGTTTCTCTCTTCCCTTTCCCTTCCCCATCTATCTTTTCTTCTTCTTTTGCCTCTTCCACCTGTTTTCCCTGATGTTTCTCTCATTCTCCTGGGCTTTGAGGACAGCCAGCAGATACTGGCATTGATAGTCATCAACAGCAATGATCAGTAAATCAATCAATGAAGTCTTTGGCTGTTTCCATTGCTGTTCATGATTCAGAAGTAATTTGTTTTGTTGTGTCTTTTTACTTCAGGCATTGTTGAGGGTGTTTGAGGTTGCTAGATGTTTGAACTCCATATAATCATGGTGTTAACTGCAATATCCTTAGTGATCTAGGAAAACTGGTGCTGCAGTTTCAGAGCAAAGGGAATCTGCTGTCCAAAAATGGTGCTTTAAAGCAAGTTATATGAAATAAGTGAAGGCTTCTGTGACAAATGTGCTTTCCTTGTTTTCTTCAGGTGTCTGCTTTGTTTAAAGATGGAACAATAGGTGGCAATATCAACATTGCAGTTGTGGGTCTCATTCTTCTAGAAGAGGAGCAGGTACAGTATTACTGAAATGTTTTTTTTCTCAGAGAAATGATGCAAATTCAATGTCTTACTTTCATTTACAGAATAATCACTTTGATTCCCTAACTCTATTTGCCTGAGGCTGAAAATATTTTCATGTTTCATATCTAAAGTAATTAATTTTTCATCAGTTAATTCAACAGGATTATTTGATTTCTTGTAGTTTGTATGTAGAGGGGTCAAATAATCTTTCAGATGTCTTGTGTGAGTGGGATAGAAGGCAGGGTGAGAACTGCCTGCATTCTTTAAAGAGATCAAATGATTTAAGTTGGTCTCTATGTTAAAAAAAAAACTACAAATATATTTGAAATATGGTATATAGACTTTATCTTTTGCCAGTTTGAGATTTTAGAATACCAGGTGGCAGCATTGGCAGTAGAAACCCCCCCAAAATGGTGTAAATTCTGTTTAGTTCATAGCACTAAAATTAGTTGTTTTGATATAATTTTGTTTCAGATCATTGGAAACTACTCATGAACATTAGTTTTTTTGTTTTTTGTTTTTTGATTTTTTTTATCACTCCAATGTGTTTCTAACTACTGTTGAACTAATTTTCAGATCATAATGGCTTGGGTTTTGAGTTCCATAGAGAATCAACAAAGTTAGAGGAATTACTTTCTAAACTCACTTCTCTTCTTGGCATCTAATTTGCCAGTTTTGTAAATATCCCAAAGCAGAATATGTCCACATCTCTAAGAAGAGAAAGGAAAATATTCTTTGCTGTCTGGATCCAAGACCCCCAATTGACATGTGTAACTTTATGTTTTTCCATGTCTGCCATGATGAGGAAACTAGGTAGGAGGTACAGTTGAATAGTAAGAGAGAGCACATACTTCCCTAGCTCCTCTATGCTGATATCCCATTCTGACTCATTTGGGACTTTTATGACAGAGGCTATATGCTGGAGGACAGTTATTACCAGATCCTGTCTTCCTCTTGCCTGATAAGAGATGGATGAGGTTCTGGAAGAATACAAAGGGGCTTTATTCCTCCTTTCCTGTGAATCCAACCAATATCCAACTCTGTTCTCTTCCCAAAAGGAAAGGAGAGCAAATTCAGCTCCAAGGTCTTATTTTGTGTGCTGAACCCATCAATGTTTCTCAAGTGACAGCTTAATTATTTTGTGTTTTAAAACTTCTTCACCTTGGAATTTATCCAAGCTGCAAAGAGGACAAGAGTCTGTCTTTTGATCATACACCTGTGTTAACTTTAATTAATGTAATTTTCCTGGAAATCACCAGCTGAAGAATTTCAAGCATGCTGTGTCTCTTTTCAAATGTTTTACACATTGGTATTTAACTTAAGTTTACTCCTTTCTCTGGTAAAACCCAAAATGTTATTTTAAGTAGAAGATACCACCATTTGTTCACCACGAGACATTGTATACTTTTAATACTATCACTATTAATACCATTTTCTCAAAATTTTATTTTATATTGTTGAGCTTCTAAAAAATACAAATTTTTCAGAAAATAGGGTTCCTAGAAGTAGTGACCTAACTCATAGCTTAGTCACTGTTGATGAAACTGTCTGCCTCCAAATTCTGCCCATGCCCATTATTTTCTACCTTCTTTACTGAAGTTCCAATTTGGCAGTTTTATAAATTTCCCAAGGCAGAATCTGTCCATGTGTTTAAATGGTGACCATAGTAGTGATTTCTTCTTGGTTCTGAATATTTTATCACGTTTCTAAAAGTAAGATTGATGCACTTTCCCAGTGCTGTCAAAGTAAGCTTTGCTTAAGGTGATATCTTAATATAGTGGATAGAAAGAGCAGGTATAAGCACCAAAAAGATCTGGGTTCAAGGCCTGACTTTGACACACACTGACTGAATGACCCTGGACAAGTCACTTAACCTTTAAATGTCCCAGTGCAACTCTTTAAGTCTGTAAGTTACAGAAAAAGTGCTGACCTGCATTGATAGAGAAAATGTTCTTGTCCATGATTTCCCTATGTCAATGAAATCAGAAGTCCAGTTCCTAACCCTATTTACCCTAATGATACTAATGCAGGGAATTCTCACTGAACAGGTATTACATGCACTCAGTTATGAGCATCCATACGTAAACATGCCTGTGTTGCCAATTGCAAATAATAATAATAACCACCAATAAAATATATATTAAACATTACAAAGGTACTTCATAATATTGCAATGCCTCATGACCATCCTGAAAATGACCAGTTTTCAGGAAGCAATGCTTAGCATGGTAGGCCACAGCATGGTAGAAAGACTAAATCACCACACTGGAATGCAACAGACCTGGGTTCTAGTTAAGTATCTGCTTCTATGTCATGTAATCTGTTTGGACCTCAACTGCCTCATTTCAAAAATCAAGGGGTGAGATTTAGCCTTTTTATGGCAGCCTGGAACAAGTGATAGACCTGTTTTCAGACTAATGTTTTTAAATATATGATATAAAATTCATAGGCTCACAAATGAAACCAATAATACTGAAATAAAGTTATTATAACATAATTGAACAGTGAGATGGTACAGTAGATAGAGCATTTCCCTGAAATCAGGAAGACCTGAGACCGAATCCTGCCTTAGACACTTACTAGCTATATCAGACTAGGAAGCCACTTACTCTCTTTGCCCCAGTTTCCTCATCAGTAAAATGGGGATAATAATAATAACACCTTCCTCCCAGGGTTATTGTGAGTATTAAATTAGCTAATAATTATAAGGCACTTATCACAATGCCTGGCACAGAGTAGGTACTATATAAATGCCAGCTGTTGTTATTATTTTTAAAAACAAAAATCTACAGATTCCTTGAAATTTATCAACAGACTCTTGGGGCCACATGGATCACAGGTTGAGAATCCTTAGACTAGAAGGTCTCTCGTATTCCTTTCATCTCTAATTGTCTATAAAGCTATAATGAGTTTGGATTCATTTTATACTATTTTATGAGATACCTGAAAGCTTCTTTTAAAAACATTTGCTCATCTTGCCATATTTATCAATTGTCTCTTTATCAGAAAGGAAAAAAAATATATAATTTAACTTTTCTGATCATTTGAATTCATTATGATTAATAAACATTTATTAAGTACCTATTATGTTCCAGGCACAGTGCTAAGCACTGTGAAGTTTTGTTATGATATTAATAATAATAATCGTAACATTGATATTGGTATTATGGTCTTTCCTGAGTAGCCAGGACTTGTGATCAATCACCATGCAGACCATACCTTAAGTAGTTTCTGCCAGTGGCAGTCTGGACTGATAGGAAAAGATGGAACCCGCCATGATCATGCAGTCTTACTTACTGGACTGGATATATGTTCCTGGAAGAATGAGCCATGTGATACTTTGGGTAAGATTTTTTGCATGTGATACTTTCAAAGATGTGTGTTTGTACTTGTACAGGTGCATATATAATTACACATTTTGTATAGAAACACTCTTTTAATTATGGTATCACAGTGTATTTTCACTTTAATGGCAAGTGCCTTTCTATTCTTAAAAGGTGTAGCATTGGGGAGTGAACATTTTTGTATGAAAGCTTACTTTTTTCTAAATACAGTGCTCTACCTTAAGCTACGTCAATAGTTCCTTTAACAGGGAATTGTTCCTTGCCAAACACTAAAGGTAGGAGAACTCGATTTTCACAATTTTGAATCTTTTCAAACTTGTTACAAATGATTTAGGACGTATGGAACTCATTAAAATGTATGTTTGATCCAAGATCAGGGTCATCAGGTTTCAGGTTAAGATGATGAGATGTTCTTGGAGGAAATCAATATTATGAAAAGTTGTAGATATTCTATAGAAATATAGAATTCTTTAATTTTCCATCTTTCCATAATCAACTCAGTTTCAGGAGTGCTTCTTGGAGGGCCCCTGGGTTGGCTTCCTTTTGGAGGCTTGCTCTTTCATATTTTTCTAAAAAGTCAATTAATAATGCTCTGATTAGGAATAATACAAAACTTTATTTCTCCTTCATTTTTAGTGAGGATGAAGATATTTAGTATACAGATTTAGCCCAGTTGAATGCAATTATTGGCAAGATGCACAATACCCTTTGACTCAGACTTTGGGTAGCAGGAATTTGTGGAAAAATACGCAGATCAACAATCAATAATCAGCCTCCTCACATTCTATTACAGTGCATTATGTGCAGGATGTAAAACCTCAACTAGGTTTTACATGTGATGTATGGTCCTTAGAGCTCCTGGAAATAGGTATCCTTTCTTCATTTTGAAAATAGCTATTATATGGTAATTCTAGAAATGGTACATCTCAATTTTCCCCCAAGGGTATCAGGAAGACAAATTGGTCTAGGAGATGAAAGATAAGAGAATATAGTTCCTTCTTTTATTTTTTCCAGTAACCATACTGCACTTTTCTTTTGGCCTTGTTCTGTAGGATTTGCACCCATAAGTGGAATGTGTAGCAAATATCGCAGCTGCACTGTTAACGAAGATACGGGTCTTGGCCTAGCTTTTACCATTGCCCATGAGTCTGGACACAAGTAAGTGAAGATGTGCCAAGGAGCACAATGTGGAGGGTAGACCTTTGGTGCACTTCTCCTACTGACCTGTGCCACAGTTTGAATTGCAATAGCTATTCCTATTATTTCATCATTCAAAGTATTAACTTAATAAATCAAGCCCTTCCCATGTATTAGAATTTGCTGAACAATAAAATAAATAATTGAACATCTCTGTGAAATATTAACACAAAAGTGCTTAATTATGGCTCATTTTCATTTGGGTGCTCTATTACATTGTAAAAATATAGTCACTTGAGATTAATAAAATAATAGTCTAGCTAGAATAAATACATATGTCTAACTAAGAGTGGGGATGAGTGATTTTGGTTCCTGAACATGAAATCTGAGGCCCTAAAGTTTTGAAGGCTAAATTGAACAGGAGCTTTTATTTTTTTTTCCTCTCGATTTGGGAACATACTTATACTACAAGAAAATGTACAGCTATGTGTTTGAATATATGTACTTTTCTTCTCTTTTTCTTCTTTCTTCCTTTCATGTATGTGCACATGGGAGAATGTTGAAGTCAGTTCTTTTGATTAGCTCCCTAACTCGGGTGAAGTGGTCAGAGTTTTTTCCCAGGGCACTAAAATTTAAAGCATGACAAAAGCATCACCTGGCGAAATACTTTGCCACAGTGGGCACATTCCTACAACCTACTTATCTTTTCCTCACAAGTTCCCCATCAACGGCCAGTCTTTTAGCAACATATAAAATTTATGCAGGGATGCATTCTCTCCTCCAGTGATCTATCCTTTATATTCTCTCCACCTCGAGTACAAAAATTCCTGATTATCAATACTATTTTTTATTGCCTACTCTTTAGTTCTACTTCCAAGATTCATGTTTTCCAATAAGTTCAGTTGAGTCATTTCCTAGTTCGCTTTGTAGAACTCCAGATATTATATATATAAGCATGTCCCAAAAGTCTTACGGCAATTTTAAGCTTTGGTGGCTTAAAATTGACCTTAGCCTTTGAAATATCCAAAATGTGTGTGTGTATCTGTGTATGTCTGTGTTTGTATGTGTGTGCACAGATGTATGTATAATACAAATGTTTATTTATGTATTAATTAGAAACCTTACTATTTCTTCCTTTTGATGTTCTTTAATGAACATTCCATTATTATAATTACTTTTTTCCATCTTAAAATTTCTATTTTTGTGGCCAATGAGTTGTTTAAAGTACATTGCACATCTTGGGTTTGGCTTCAACATAAGTTTCAGTGGCTACAATGTGTGCCTGTGTTCACAAGGGAAAATAGGTGAGAGAGTGCAAAAGGATTGAGGCAAATCCAGTACAGCTACTACAATACAACTTTCAGCATCTGTCCTAGTGATCATCTATCAGCAACATCATTTTCTATGTGAAATTTGGTACATTTATACTGAAGAGTGAGCAGTATTTTAGGGCAGCTGGGTGGTACAATGTATAGACTGCCAAGTATGGAGTCAGGAAGACCTGAGTTCAAGTACTGCCTCAGACACTTAATATCTGTGTAACCATGGGCAAGTCATTTAACCCTGTTTGCCTCAGTTTCCTCATCTGTAAAAGTGAGCTGGAGAAGGCAATGATAAACCACTCCAGTATTTTTGCCAGCAAAACCCCAAATGGTGTCACAAAGCATTGGACACAACTGAACAACAACGAACAATATTTTAAAATAAACAACTTCAAGGAGTTTCTTGTACTTTAAATTATACATTAAGCTATATGTTATATTGATAACTTGTTTGGATTGTATTTTTTTCATTCAACCCTCATTGTCATAGGGATCTCCCAGTGAAACTCCCTTTACCAGTACAGATCAAAACCTGCTCTTTCAACTTTAAATCTTACAGCAGTGATATCAAACTCCAATGTAAATGGATCCTTCCATGGCATATTGACATAGAAAACCACACATTAACATCTTTTTGGTATTATGTTCGTATTTATTTTGTATTTTGTATTCATTTATGTTTATTTATGTTTGTATTTATTTTATCCTGTTTGGGTACTACTCTTTTGTAGGCCTCTTGTTTCATACCTCTGTTAAACAATTCCCTGGGACATTAAGAGCTTATAGAACTTGCCCAAGGTCATACAGCCCTATGGGTCAGAGACAGGCTGTGAACCTAGGCCATCCTGACTCCACAACCAGCTGTCCATCCACTACACCATTCTGCCTCTCCTGAATTGTCTTATCTTAAAAACATACACATACCCACCATATATATATATAATATGTATATACACGTACGCACACACATACACACACACACACATATATGCACACAATTGAAAAAGTTTGTCTTTCTATGCGTGAGAGATGCTGAGTTCCTAAAACGTAGCATCATCAAAATGATCCAATGGTAATCCTGAAATTCTCTTCGCAGGTCACACTGCCAACATATTTGAAATTTTTGCTGGACAATGTACAACTAAGAAACATAGTTTGTTATCTTTATAGCCTTTACCTTACCTTTCCTCACCTTCTGTTTACACTGGCAAGAAAGGTAGTGCTGGTAAATGTGTCTTTATGAAACTGCCCTCTCCTCCTGGGCCTATTAGAAAATGAAATGAAATCCCTTACTCGTTTCTTCCAAAACTATTCAAAGGACTCAGCTGCTGCTGCTGCTGCTGCTGCTGCTGTGTGTGTGTGTGTGTGTGTGTGTGTGTGTATGTGTGTGTACATGTGCTAGTCTACAATGGAATGCATGAGAGTAACTATGGACTTTGGCTCTATGTGAACTGATGACCTCCCAATGAAAAGCTTTATATACAATTACTGATCCCCTCATCATTACAGGTAATGATTGACTGACTTTTTCAGAGCCTAGTAAATGGTACCTGCACTATATAGGAAGCTTTAATTTGAATCATAATTATATTTTTAATATTCTGCTAGAGTAAAAACTTCAAAACACTCATCTTAGCTTCATTAGGATCTTTGAACCATACCTGAATTTAATTATGTAATCAAAATAAAATACATTTAAAATCCCCCCCTATATATTAAGTCAGAATTGAGGAAGTAAGTTTAAGATAATCAATTTAGATAGAGTCTTAGCAATGTTAGCCCTTGAAGGCAGTGGGCTGACTGAGATGGTTTATTTCTCCTTTGCTTTATGGTTTATATTTATAATTTTATCAGGTATGGAGCTCCCCATGTAGAAATGTTATTGACATTCCCCATGCAGAATTTGCCAGAGAAATGTGAACCAGTAATTCCTGTGTGACTGACAGCCTTACAGAGTTGCTTGGGTCACTAAAAGGACAAAAATTATCCTTATTTTACAAATAAGGAAATTAAAACTCAGAGGAGTAAAATGATTTTCCTAAGGTTACACAGCTAGTAAATAGTGATCTGAGGCCTGAACCCAGGCCTCCTGATTTCAAACAAGTCCTATGTTCTTTCTTCTTTATCATACTGCCCTCTCATACTGGATCAGTTAGGTCGAAGCAGATTCACTTTTAGAAGTATATAGCTAGTAAATTGAAAAAAAATTATTCTTTTCTAAAGGTTTTCATATTGACAGAACATAATATAAAAAAATAGCTCACTTCTATGAGGCTGGATTTGAACTCAGGTCCTCTTTGATTCCATGGTCAGTGTTCTATCCACTGTGTCACCTACCTGCACCTTGCTACCTTATTTTCAATCCACTTTTTTTTTTTTGGTGGTAGGGAGGTACTTGTGTTAAGATAAATGAAACTTCTAAACTTTAGGTTAAAGGAGTTTCTTCCAGGTATTATTCTTGTGTTTTGGTTTTTTGTTTGTTTGTTTGTTTGTTTTTTAATCTCCCTGTGTTAGAAAGACTCTTAGAGATCAAATATTTCATTCCCCAAATTTGTTTGAATTTGGGTTGGGACAGGGAAGGCAGGAGAGTCAGAAAGAAGGTGAAGAGGTATGTTTTCCTTCACTAGGAAGGGGAGAGTCAAGGTCAGGGGTGGGGAACCTGAGGCCTCGAGGCCACATGTGGCCTTCTAGGTCCTCAAGTGTGGCTCTTTGAATCCAAACTCTAGGTCCTTGAGTGTGGCCTTTTGACTGAGCCCAAGTTGTACAGAGCAAATCCTTTTATTAAGGGGATTTGTTCTGTGAAGTTTGGATTCAGTCAAAGGGCTGTACTTGAGGACCTATAGAGCCAAAATGTGACCTTGAGGCCACAGGTTCCCCACCACTGGTCAGGGTGATCTTTTTTCTAAAGAGGCAATAGAAGGAGATTTTTTGCTGTTACTCTAAATCACTTGAAAAAGCTACATGTGGTTTGTAAGCTGCAGGTGCTAAAGAGCTGGTGGGGCTTTACCGATAACTGAACTGCATGCTTTGGAGAATGTGTAATCTGGGCATTAGGCCATTTGAAAAATTCCCATTTGTTAAGGGAAGCAGTAAGGTCTGATGGGTAGAGCCAGGGGAATAGGATCTAGATACACTCTGATTCTACCACAACTTGGCTGTGTGGCCGTGGAGTCATTACTTAATCTGGTCTCACTAAATTTTCCTATCTGTAAAATTGGTTAAGCTCTTTGAGATTCTTAGTCCAGACATGCAGGTGCAGTTTAAATTATATTACAGCCTTGGAGCCAGATCTTCTCAGTATGCAACATATAATTCCAGAATTAAACTGTGTTAATTTTTCAACCACTTAGGACACCATTTTCTAAATTATATTTTTATTGACCTGAATTATATGTAGGAAACCAGTTAACCTCAGTCACACTTGCATCTTTGGGGATGGAACTGCCAATCCACCAGAATGCCAGGGTCAGCATTGCCAAGTCTCCATGATAGAATGGAAATAGCACTGGATTTGGAGTCAGAAATACTGAGTTTGAATTCTGACTCTGCAGTTCACTACATTCATGGCCTTGGGCAAGTGACTTTAACCTCTCTGGGTCTCAGTTTCCTCAACTGTAAAGTGAGGCAGTAGGTTAAATAACCTTTGATTTCCCTTGCAACTATAAATCTGATATTATGCTGCTTAATGGGCTTCAGTTCCTTTACTTATAATACCAGAGTTGGACCAGCTCACCTCTAAGATCCCTTCAATTTCTAAATCTAGAAGCCTTTTCATTGTTTTATCATGTCTGTTTCTTGTCTGCCCAAACCTTTTCCCTATGGCCAGTCCCTGATACCACTAATAGGGCAATAAGAACTTTGGAAAATTGACAATGTATAAACTAATATAATTTTAGAGCTGGAAATAACCTTAGCAATCATCTGATTCAAACAACTCACTTTACAGATAAAGAAGCTCAAGCCTAGGCAGATAAAATGACTTATCCAAAGTCATGGTGGCAAAGACAAGACGAAATTTAGGTCTCCTGATTCCTGGCCCATAATCTCCCCTATTTTTACATTGTCTCCCCTAGAGTCACAGTACAGTACTCCACAACCACACATAGCTACTTTATGTCAGGAGTATGGATGTCTAGGGATAAGCCCTGATATTCCAAAGGCAAAGATTTTAAAAGACATACTCTGATACTTTTCAAAGCTAACCCCTATTCCATTCTCATAAATAGCTGTCCCAGTAGTTTAAAAGAATTATTGCCATTAAAAGTATGTGTAATACTAGACAAGAAATATCTTGATTGCTTAATTTACTCCCAGGGAAAAGTATTTATGTTGAAATAATAAGATTTATTTTAAGTTCAAATTATAAAATCTCCTGCTTGACCCTAAATATGCCTCACTGAAAATATCATTTCAAACTTCATGTTTCTATATTGGTTTTAGATAGATGAAAAAAATAGTTGCCTAGTCTTTTCAATTCTATCTCCTCAGTATCTCTCCCATATTTCCTCCTCTCTCTATTTATACCACAACCAGCTTAGTACAGGTCCTCAGCACCACTCATGGACCATTGCAATAGCCCCTTTATTGATCTCCCTGTATCCAGTTTCTCTTTCAGCTGCCAGATTGATATCCTTAAAGTATAGGTCTTAGCTCCTATAGTGCAGATCCCAGGATGTCACTCCATTGCCCAACACAATTTAATGCTGTCCCATCACTTTCAGATAAAATACAAAGTTATTTAAAGTCCACATTCCAACTTCATACTATATATTTTTAAAGCTAGTTATTACATTATTTGGTCAAGTCACTTAACTTTGTTTGCCTCAGTTCCTCATCTGAATGAGCTGAAGAAGGAAATGGCAAACCACTCCAGTATCTTTGTCACCCCAATGTGGTCACAAACAGTTGGACAGGACTGAAACAACTGAACAAAATAATTACATTATTACTTATACATTAATAATTACATCATTATTTCAAGTGTCCTACAATCTAAGAAGACAGGCCAATTCGCTATTAATTGCACAAGACATTCTAATTCCTGTCCATCTTTCCATGGATTGTCCCCCATGGCTAAAATGTTTTTCCTATGCAACTCCACCTCTTGAAATGTGCACACTCCCTTCAAGATTCAAGTATCTCCTCTTTGAAAAGTCCTTTTCTGATTCCCCCAGTTATTAGTACCTGCCCCCTCTTATTGGGAATTACACATACACACACACACACACACATACACACACACACACACACATGCACACACGCACACAAATAAATAATGCCCATATATTTTCAATTAGCATTTTTGCACCTTTATTCCAGACCCTCTGTTAGGTCCTGGAGATAACAAATATAAAAGTGAGACAATCCTTACCCTCAAAGAACTTGAATTCAACTAGGAGGCAACAACATATACATAGGTGAGTTTGTAGATTCAGAACATTCTCTGATACAAAAAGAGGTGTCAAATAAACACCTGTTGATTGATTTATTGAAACAGATGAAAACTAAGTAAATAATCCCCTAATGCTACCTTGTTCCTTAATAGTGTTTCTCAACTTTCTTATTCATCATTTCACAGAATTATAGGTTTGGAGCTGGAAGCAACTTTAGAAGTGATATGGTCCAACCCCCTCATTTTACAGGCAAAGAAACAGAGACTTAGAGGGATCAGCTGAATTACCTAAGATCCCATGGATGGTCGCAGGCAATTCCAAGATTCAAACTTGGGTTCTTTGACTCTAAAATCCAAAGCTACCTTTCCTTTAGGGAGAGTAGAAGGAGATAACTGGAAAACTTGTCTCATTTCTTTTCTTTTTCTTTGCTTCATTGATGTTAATGTTAAATACACACACTGTATTAATACTATCTGGGCCTTTTAGTAATATCATAATGATAGAAACTGAGACATAAAATACCTTCTTATATATAGGTCAAAGAAAGAAGATGTTAACTTATTCCTTTTTTATCACATCATACCAGGGCCAGCTTCATACCACTGACCTAAATCTGAAACCTTTCCATATTCCATGACACATTGTTTATGCCATATGGTAACTCTGGGCTTGGTTAATTATTTTTAATAGAACTTCAGAGAATGGGTGGAGGTCAAAATGACTAAACCCACATCACTGTTAGCACTGTATATGAATTCTACAAAAAGCTGCCATTTGCAGTGCCAAATTACCTTAGTTAGGCCCTTAAATCTACTTGTTACATTTTTAATAAGATAGAGGCAAAACTGAAATAGGTGGTTTGTTTGTTTCCAGAACACTTTAATTACCTTTTAGAATGAACTTCTCCATTTGAAGAATTCCTTTTTTCCTCCCAATGCTTTCATTGCCACTCTCTGAGACTCTTCAGAGAGTAGTCAGCTGGATGGTGCAGTGGATAAAGCGCTAGGCTCACAGTCAGGAAGACACGAGTTCGAATCCTGTTTTAAATATCTGATTAACCCTTTGCAAGTCACTTGACCAATTTCAGATTCATTTTCTTCATCTACAAAATGAGGAGTTTGGATTCAATGGCCTCTATGGTCCTTCCAATTATGAGTATATGCTTCCATGAGTCATACTCAGACCACATAGCACCTATTCTCCTGACTTTTTTCTCTCCCTACTGCTCTCCTTACTAATCAAAGAAAAAGTTGTCTTGCATTATACTTCCTTAGAACCATAAACTGAGGAGAATCCAACAAACTAATTGTAGCTAAGACATTAATAGTCAATAATAATCTTCCAAAAATATGAAGTTTTCAGTGCCAGGTTTGAAACCCTCCCTAATCTCTAAGATTTTAGATTTGCATGGAGATTGGCATTTGTAGGAAAAGCTTTCAGGAGTCCTTTGTAGACTTTAAAATGTTAAGGGAAACAGAGAGGAGTGGAAATGCTTGAGGGGAGGGTGAGGAGGTATAGCATAGGTGATGTCATTGAAATGTTATATAGATTTTGGGGGAAGAGAGCTAATGAGTTGGAAAAAATCTTTTTCCCTCTCTCCTCTCCTCATCCACCAAGATTGAACCTTAATTTGTCATTCATGCTCGTTTGGACCCCTCCACCTACAAAATATTAAGGTAAGATTTTATGTGTCAGTACCCTCAACTATCAGGGTACTGATATCACCTTATCCTCCTCGATTGAGGCAAAGCTGAGATTTCCTGGTTGTCTGCCTTGTGCTCAGACATGGAAGCAGCAGTCTTCACAGTTTGATGATGGACAAGTATTCCTTCTGGCCCACCACCCATACTTGGGCTGCACCCACTTGTTTCTGTTCTTTGAAGCTATCACCACCAGAAAGCCACCAAGACTGCTTAGGCTTTGTCTATCCACCAGTATATCAGATAACCTAGTTACTGACTTAAAATTATATGGATTCGGATTTCAAAGAAAAAAAAACAACATAGGGGGTTGTAGTGTAGAAAGACCATTCTGCTAAGTGCCTGTAACCCCAAAGAAAACTTGCAGGAGAGTGTGGCTGATTATAGATGCTAGATCACTGCATTTTAAAGAAGATTTGCCTCCCAGCATGGTCTTGATCACTCATCAGACTGAACTTGCTTCCAGAGGAGGTGACAAAGGTGAAGAAGCTTTAATTAAGAGGCTGTAAAAGAAAATTGATAAGTAAAATGCTTCTTCTTTCTCATGTGAATTGCTCTGGTGCTCATTGGTCCAAATAAGTAGGATTTTTGTTCTGTTTGTACCATTTATGTACAATTCTCCAACACATACAAAAGAGGCTGTGACATGCCTTGCATCACAGAATGCCTGGCTAAGACTGGATTGCACCAGATGAGTGTAAAATGTTATCTATTTTGAAGTGATTGACATTTTTTCTCTTTGATAGCTTTGGCATGGTCCATGATGGAGAAGGAAACGTGTGCAAGAAGTCTGAGGGTAACATCATGTCCCCTACATTGGCAGGACACAATGGAGTCTTTTCCTGGTCATCTTGTAGTCGCCAGTATCTGTACAAATTTTTAAGGTAAGTAACTCTAGAAGGAGTCTGATTCAAAATGTTTTAAATTTTTTAAGTGTGTAAAATGCTGGGCATTTGGAGAAGATACAAAATTCAGAAAAGACATTGCACTGCTGTCGTGCAGATTACAACCAAACAGGGGGATAGGAGAACTACACAAATAGCCACAGTTTAAAAAAAATGCATTGTTACTGCTTAAATGAGTTACAAGCAACTACCATGTGGGTTACAAGACTGGAAGGTCATTCTCAGCTGGAAGGCATTAGAGAGGAAATGAAAGGGGAAGGGAATAAGCTTTTATTTACATGCCAACCACTGTGGTAAATGCTTTATATGAATATTATCTCATTTGATCCTCACAACAACCTTGGGAGGTAGGTGGCTGTTATCACCCCTATTTTACAGTAGAAGAAACTGAGACAGAGGTTAAGTGACTTGTTCAGGGTCACACAGCTAGTAAGCATCTACAATCAAATTTAAATGCACATCTTCCTGACTCCAGGCCCAACATTTTATCCACTGAACTACCTGGTTCACTCCAGACACAAAGAGACAGTTGATATTAGCTGTAAATGAAGGAAAGCTAGGAATTCCATTAGTGGAAGGAAGGTTTTGGAAGCAATGGAAGGTGTTATAAGCATAATGAAGAGTGTGAGCAAATTCAAGAAGGCAGAAAAGCATGAGACACTTATGGGAAGTTGTGATTTGGTTGTAATATAAAATATAGAGAGAAGTCTCATAAAATATGAGATAAGTCTGGAATGATAGAATAGTGTCAGGATATGGAGGCCTTGAATAAAGAATCTTGAATGCCAGCAAAAGAAATATGGAATTGAGCTAGTAAGCAGTAGGGAACTACAGAAGGCATTTCAGGAGAGGAATAACATGACCAGATCAATGCATGAGTAAATTTAGCTTGGCAGCCTTATGAAGGATGGAGTAAAGTTGGCAAGATGCATAATAAAGGTATTACAATATTCTAAGTATGTGCTGTCAATGGAATTAAAGTGGAAGGAACACATATAATATGAATGAGACACAGTAACTGATTGGATGAGATCAGACAGGAGAGAGAGAAGGAAGGGTCAAAGAGCCAAGGCATCAAGTATGAGAGACTAGAGAAAGGATGAACACTGACAGAAATAGGGAAGGTAGAAGGATCACATAGGGGAGTGGGGTTAGTGATAAGTGCTTTGGACATATTGAGATAGATGTGCCAGTAGGACATCCAGATGGAGGTATTCTTTGAGGAACTGGAGATATACCCTATAAGAGGAGATAGAGCTCTGGAGCTTGGTAAGGATGCCAGGGCTGGTGATATAGAGTAAGCTATTTGTTTATTCTATTGATAATGGATTATAGACCAATCTGATCATGAGAGAGTTCTAACTGCCCTCAACTTTGGTTGTGGGGACAGATAGATTGTTAAAGTCACTCTAAAGGTTCTAAAGGTTGACATATATTAGCTATGTAATCATGGAAGCAAATAGTGACATTAACCTATCCAGGCCCCCAGGCAGCTCTGAAACTTTGTTATAAGTGAGTAGCTGATCTGCTTTGGTGAAGGGAATTTCCACATTGAAGATTCCACATATCTAGGAAATCATAGCATTATATAGTGCTTTAAGGATTACAAAGTGCTTTGCATATGTCATCTTATTTCATCCTCACCTTAACCCTATAGGGTAAGTACTATTATATTATCTTCATTTTCCAGTTGAGGAAACTGAGACTGAGAGAGGTTGTGACTTATATAGCTAATGTGTAAGAGATATAATTTGAACCTGGGTCTTCCTACCTCCAAGTCCAGCACTCTGATATTTGACACTTGTGTGTGTGTGTGTGTGTATGTGTAATATACACATATTGCATAGTATAATGAAGATAACCTGTGATAACAACTTATAAGATAGTTGCTGTTGCTGAGTTGTGTCTGACTCTCCATGACCCCATTTGGGCTTTCCTTGACAAAGACTGGAGTGGTTTGTCATTTCCTTCTCCAGCTCATTTTACAGATGAGGAAACTAAGGCAAAGAGGGTGAAGTGACTTACCCAGGGTCACACAGCTAGGAAGTGTCTGAGGCTAGATTTGAACTCAGGTCCTCCTGACTCCAGGGCTGGCACTCTATCCACTGTGCCACCTAGCTGCCCTTGTAAGATCATAGGATTAATCAAATGTGTATTTTTTGGTTTTGTATTGCATATGTATATCTATGTATATATACAAATGCACATATATATATGTAAATAGACACACAAAGATAAATACTTGCACATATCTTTGGGGGGGGGCATTAGAAGTTTGTTCTTCATTGAATGTCCTCGGGATTTTCAGGCATCTGTCCCTCACTTGACATGTGATCTAATAATGGCTCCTTAGTTAGCCCCTTGTTGCTATGTCCTCATGAGAATGACTTATATATCCATTTCAGCTTTTGAAAAACCATCATGCCTTTTTGTCCTTAGAAAAAAGGTTTAATTTCCAACTGGATTAAGGATACAACTATGTTGGCCTTTTTCTTTCAGCTTCATCTCTCTTGTGAAAAACTGCCAATATTTTTAAGTAATGTAGAAATAAGAGATTTGTTTACCATCCTTTTCCTTTCCAATGTACAAGTCCCAGAGGGAAATTGAGGGAAAGATGCTTCTCCTAAATAAGTTCATTCTGAACCTTTTTGAAAAGTTCACATTGTTGGCGTCGTTATTCCAGGAAAAGTAGGTGAAAGAATATTTTCCTTCTAATCATTAGATTTATGCTTGTAAATGTTCATGCAATAAAAAACAAAGGAAAAGTACATGAAAAAAACCCATCATGACTTGACCAGATGAAGGGATATGAGAGGACAGGTATTATGGGAAATTATCTATAACATAAATATGATCTGAAAGTGGGAAATGGGAGGTGGGGTATAGTAGACTCAAAGTCCTCTCATTTTCAAGATAATGAATCCTAGAGAAGTTAAATGACTTTCCCAAGGTCATGCAACTATTAGGTATCAGAGGCAGAATTGAACCAAGCTCCCCTTGACTCCAAGTTTTGTACCGTATCTTCTATGACTTTCAGATAATATTTTTCTTAAAATAAATGAGAAGAATAGTTTGTCTTCATTGTTTTTCTTTCCTTCAGCCACCATGAACATTTTCTATAATTCATTTTAAGCCTGTTACCTAAGTATCAGGTAGCAGTCTCTTGTGATGCAGTGCAGTATGGTGGAATGTAGGTTGGGCTTGGAGATGTGAGAAGTCCAAAGTCAAATACTCACCCTGTCAGATGGCAATGTGATGTTTGGCAAGTCATTTAACTTATCTATGCTTCAGTTTTCTCATGAGTAAAATGGAGATAATGAATTTTGCAGTGTCTGCCTGTTGAGATTCTTCCCAAGAGCACCAGAAATACAATTTGAACACTAGTCCCCTGACTTTAGAGCCAGGGCTTTTCCCACTGCACCATGTTGCTCCTTCTGTAAATAGATGGCAGAGTTTAAGGGAGGAAGGACAGCAACATTTAAGAACATCTTTTTAATACATTTTGGTACTCACACACCTTTTGTTAGAGTTAAAGTTGACTTGCCCAGGGTCACACAGCTAGTAAATGTTTGAGGTCACATTTGAACTCAGATCTTCCCAACTCCAGACCAGTGTTCTATCCACTGTACCACCTAGCTGCCCCCTTACCTACCATACACCAATTAAATCACAAATCAGGAAAAAACAAAAATATCAGAATAGTTGAACATTTACTCTAGAATCATTTATAATTCCCCTACTACCACCACATTTATTTTTGCTCAACAATAAGGAGAAAAATTAAAGTTCTCTATTTACCTCTAACTTCTAATTGTTATAGGCTCTCTTCAATTCAATTCAGCTGATTAAGTATTTAATAAATATGCAAGAATCTGGGATAGGAGAATGAAAATATTTGTGATTTTTCTTTTTCTTATTTTAAAGAAAAATGGGACTACTTTTTGGAAATAATATGATAAAATTGTTTACCTTTAGTACGAAATCTGCAACAATGTAATGAAAGCTGTAATTGTCAGAGATGGTTAGGGAAACATCTTCGTCTCAAGTGCTTCTGTACAAGTAAGTAATAGGTCAAGTTTTGAAGATAAGGGAAAAAATGGCCTTGAAATTGATGAAGTACTCATGGGGACCAATTCTATTTCTTTTTTTGTGTACACTGACTGCCAGCCACAATCCACAATTCAGCTCAGCTCATAGACTGTTACCATGAGATAGAGGATATTTTCCTGGTTCACCTCTATTACTCTCAGAGCAACTAGGATATCAGCTAAGTGCTTCCTTTAGCCTGCTTACTAAGTCTCCCTGCAGTAATTCTGGAATGCAATTTTACTTTGGAGGATTTGGCTAATTCCCCCTAGACCACACACTAGTAATTAAATCTAAAACTTAAATTAATTAAGATTTTACAAAATCAACAAGTTGACTTTTGGAAGTAAATCTCATACAAACATCAAGCAAAAGCTCTAGGCATCTAATTTAATCAGCAGGGCTTTTGCTTTATTTGAAATGACCCATTACAAGTTAGATACTTTGCCTGAGCCTGAATTAGTCATGCCCTTGGTGACTCTATAAATCTGAGTTGATATTCTGTCACATGTGTGTGTGGACTTCCTGAATCATGTGTACTCACCAGCAATTAGATGGGTATTTGGCCCCATGCCCATCTCTGAGTAAGCAGTAAAAGGAAAACTTTTCAAGGATGAATCTACTATTCTAAATAAAAGATTAGCATTTAGACAGTGCAAAAAAGAATTGAGTAAACTCTAAGTCTCCTGAAAATTTAGAGGAAAGCTTTGTGCCCTGGTCTTACTAATATCCAGATAATTTGGATGGATTTTTTTTAGTATAAGCTCTAAGCCCATCATCCTGTTGACATATCATGTCCTTAAAATATTTTCTATTAATAGACACAAACCTCATCCCAATTAGTCATGTCTGTACCAGTGGCCTATAGTTTCAGGAAAACTTAGCTCAATAATTTAAAAGTAGTAAAGCACATCATAGTTCCATCCTCAAGTCACTTCTTACATGTGATTATTTTATTTTCAACTCCTTGATGATCAATAAAAAATACGCAGAGCTAAAATGGAATTCTGTTAATCCCACAGAATATTTGGGCTTTCTCCTTGTTCCCTACTCCAATGCCTCCTTGGGGCATGGAGATGATCTTGGGTTCTTGAGGTCCCACTGCTGGAGTGTAACCTCTGGCCAGTTCTACCAACTTGGAAAGGCTTTGATTATGGACCAGTGATGTATGTGTTTAAAAAACGTGACCCAACTAGATGTAGACAGACTGACCACAAGGCTGCTACCTAAAAATTAATTTGGAGGCCACAGGTATTTTAAGAAATCATAGAGAAGTTATAATTTGCACTGGTACAGAGGGCACACACACTGATTCAATACCAAGGTGTTGAAGTATTGGATTGAGAATTAATAGTAGGTCCCAAAATTATATTTTGATGAGAATCTGGGAAATATACAATTGTGCCTCATGGAAAGAATATATATTAATTCAAACCTCATATAACTTTTCAAAAGTCATCTTTTATTATGTCTTTGCCATATGCTTTTGGAGGGGGGAGTGGGAATGGTGAAGGTGGTGTCTGCGTGTGGATCTCCAAAATTATGCTGTAGGAAGCATGTTTGTAGTAGAAAGTGGAACTGTTCATGGTGGAATCAAAGGAACTGATCATGCTGCTAAACTAGCTAGACAACACTGAGTGACCAATTTGCGTTTCTATTTCTCTATATATAAAAACAGGAGGTCAGACTAGATGATGTCTAAGGTTCCTTCCACTTCCAATATTCTCTGATTCTATAGAAGGAATAGGAGAGAATTTTTTTTGTTATGAGTTATCTCATTGAATGTGAAAGTTGAATGCCAAATTATCCTTATATGCTTAAATATTTCATTCATATAATATAATCTCACTTTGTAGGAGCTTTTGGAATAGTAAATGGCAGGTAATATTATAACATATTTCTAAAGAACTGAATAAAGTTATGTCAGTTTGTGTGTGTGTCTTCTATTAATATAAATTAATTTTGATAACAAATTCTGGAAAGACCATTAGTGAAAATGATTTTTCTTTACCTTGATGATAGTATAATATGACAGTGTGGTATCATGAGTAGACAGTCAGCCATGGAAATAGATAGGTTCAAAGCCCACTCCTGACTGTATGATCTTGGGCATGTCACTTACTATCTCAGTGTTCCTAGAAACTATATAAAACTCTAAGTTGCTGAGTAGGTGTTGACCTACATTAGTAGAGAGTTTATTCAATAGTTAGTTTCCCATATCAGTGAAATCACAGATTCAGGCTCTCTCCACTAATTTGATATCATTCTAATTCTATTATAGGTGTAGCAAATGATAAAAATAGCACTTATTAATGAACTGGAGAAAAACTACCTGGTTTTACTTACGCACAACTGTTGACATTCCTTTTCCTAGTTTCCCATCTGTGAGATAGGAATAGCATCAGCCCCACTATATCTGAGATAGTAGCAATAGATGATATAATACATCAATCGATCCATCTATTAATAAGCAATTAGTAAATGCATATTTTGCACTAAGCTCTGTGTTATAAGATACAAAACCAAAAATGGAATATTCCATGTCCTCTAGGAGCTCATATTCTGTTGGGTAAAACAACATGTATGGATATAAATACAAACAAAAATATATACAAAATAAATTCTTTGTGTTTTCTAAAAGAAATAGTTGACAGAATTTCAGAACTTTCTCTAATCACCAAATCAAGAAGGCATCTCTCAGTTTTCTGGATTTCTTTAACACAGTGTTTATACTGCTTCCTATTGTAGTATCTCTTCATTTTATTCTCGTTCTGGGATTGATATTACCTTGAGACAGTCTTATTCATCTCTGTATCTGCCCCTCCACTGCTCCCACCCATGCTGACTTACTTAGCAAAGCGCTTTGGACAGAGGTGGCACTCAAAGGGTACTTGTTGAATGAGTGAATGAGGAGAAATGCTGTGTTTCTTCAAAACTTAACACCTTAATGCTAGAAGGAACCATAGAGGTGACCTCGTCCATCTCCCTCATTTTCCAGATGAGGTAACTGCATCGACCATGGTGATGCCTTTGCTGTCTTGATTCCTTGCCATTTTAAATAAATGCTCAGAATTTCTTGGCCAGTGTGAGGACTACATGTTCCACCCTCCCCCCTCCCCCCAATGTCCCAGATTTATAACTTATAAAACTCACAGGCTAAGAAGGTGATAATCAATTCGTATTTGTTTGTTTTTGTTGGGGAGGAGAGGGTGAAGGAAACTCAGCAGTAGCTTTGACTAGATTGAATCTACATTTGTATTTGAAATTCTGGTCAGGAATTGGCCCAGACCTAGAATATTGCTGGCGGAAATTTTTACACAGTTCAGTAAGGGACTAATGGAAGCTGTAAACTATTGTCCAGGTGGCACCAGCCCTTCAACAGTCATTGTGAGGAAACGTCCAAGTAGGCAGGCTGTGTTTTGACAGCCGCAACATCCACTTCCACAGGCATATCCTTTGATTGTTCCTGGCAAAGAGTATCCTCTTTCTTTGGAGCATGAAGCTCTGGTTCAGAAGAGGTATCTGTGGTAGGAGCGTCTTACAGTAGACAGCTGGTTGCAATTACCTGAGTTCACCTTTCCCCACAATATAGTCAGGACTAAATTGCTCTTTGGAAGGGGTGAAATGCATTATTGATAATTTCAGAAAATGTGGATGGTATATGTAGAGCTGCAGTTAGGAGAAATGTAATTATTAGGCCTCAAGAGGAGAATAGTTTCCACTGCCCTATGCAAAGTATCTTTTTTCAATTTTATGAGAACAAAAGCAAAACAATGTGTGTAACCTCTGCTAACTCCCTCTGGTCAACACATATGGCCCCATCCCTTCTCTGTGTTTTAGCACTGCTCAAGCCATATGCCTTGCTGATCAGCCTAAGCCTGTGAATGAATACAAGTATCCTGAAAAGCTGCCTGGAGAATTGTATGATGCCAACACACAATGCAAGTGGCAATTCGGGGAGAAGGCCAAGCTTTGCATGTTGGACTTCAAAAAGGCAAGAGATTGTTATGGAATGATTGATTCAGTATAATTTATATTAGTGGGGACATTTTTTTAAAAGTTTAATTTACAAGAATTCTTTACTCCATGTGATTGACTGTATTTCAAAAGAATTAAACTCAACAGCCATTTATTGATCACCTGCCTTGTACCGGGCCCTATGCTAGATGCTGGATGCAAACAGTCTCTTCCCTCAAGGATTCTACTCGATAGACATAATATGGTATGCGCAGAGTCAATGTATTGTAGTAAGTAGAGCACTAGACCTGGAATCAAGAAGTCCTGCCTTTGAATTCCACTTCAGATGGATGTGATTCTAGGCAAGCATTTGGCATGGTCCTTTAATTCCAAACCAAGCATTTGTTCTACTGCATCTACTGTCATTCTAGTATTATTAAATTAAATAATGCATTCAAAGTGCTTTGCAAAATTTAAAATGCTATTTTAGTAAACACATACAAAAATGCATGAACTAAATGCAGAGTAATAGAGGGGAGGAAGAGGAAAGGAGACAAGCATTTATTAATTGCCTGCTGTGTGCCTGGCACTGTGATAAGTGCTTTACAAATATTATCTAATTTGATGCTGAGGAGAGGAAGGAGCATTAAAACTGAGTGAATCAGGAAAGGCCTGATAGCCCAACATCGTGGCCCTTGGGCCTTGAATAGAGCTGAAAGGAAGGAGTAACAATACATTATGATACAGTGTATAGTAGGGAGGGAAACATTTTGGCAGGGGATGGGTTTGTACGTACTCTTGTAGATAAAAGTGTTTGACTCTGAGAACCTGAGACAGCCTTCATCTCAGAACATTTCTGTCATATGGAGTCACATTTATTTTTCATCAAAAAATCTTCTAATTGTCAGTGAATAAAATAAAAAAAAGGTTCTACTGACTACTGAATGAAACTAGCAAAGACAATTCATAATCTTAATAATATGAATTCCAGGAGGAGGAGGGAATGGCAGTACAGAAAAGGTGAATGCCTTTTAAATATGCAAGTACAATGAAGCCTGAACAGCTAAACAGAGAATAATAAATTCAAAGAGATACAAGACACAAAGTGGACCATGGGCAGATGTGACCACAAGCAGTCCCACAGATAAGGGACACATGTTAATAATGGTAGTTAGTGATGTAGCATTATCATACGTAGAGCTGCAGTTAGGAGAAATGTAATTATTAGGCCTCAAGAGGAGAATAGTTTCCACTGCCCTATGCAAAGTATCTTTGTTCAATTTTATGAGAACAAAAGCAAAACAATGTGTGTAACCTCTGCTAACTCCCTCTGGTCAACACATATGGCTCATCATCTTTGAATTTTGCTAGAACCAAAAAAAATGTGATAGGACATCTGATGAAGTATAATTTTATATTTTAAAATATATGATAAATTTATATGGGGAATAGGGACCAGACCTGTGGTTTCACTGTTATAGGGAACTATCAGGTGGGAAAACTGCCTCTGGTAATATAGAATTGACACCTTCTCTTTAAATTACAGACTTGGAAAATAGTTAAAGCAGTAAGAAATTAAGTGACTTAGCCAGGTTAACTTGACAAGTGTCAGAGGGAGGATTTGAACCCAGGACTTCCTAGTTCTGAGGCCAGCTCTCTATCCACTATGTCACAGTGCTTCTGTATATATTTATGTGTGTGTATATGTGTGTGGCCATGTATGTACCCACTTATGTGTTTCTACCCCTACTCTTTTCCCCAGGAGGTATTGTTTTTGCCTGTAGTTTGTGGAAAATAAAGCTTATGGTAGATGTACTCTCAAGTCTGAAACTTCATCCCCAAAATTCCATCTACTGAAATTATATTTTTATTCACCTTAACTCTTTGATAAATTTAATTCAGCAAACATTTAAGTGCCTATTCTGGTACAAGTCACTGGGAATACAATGACAAAAGTGAAAATAAGTCATCTTAACCCTTTGATAAATTTAATTTGGCAAACAATTAAGTGCCTGTTCTGGTACAAGTTATGGGGAATACAATGACACAAATGAAAATAAGGCCCTTCAGGGAACTTGTATTCAACTGGAGATATCAAGATTAGTTATCATTCATTTTTATTGAAATCCACCTTTAGGGGAAAGCAATCATCCCTTGAATTATGGAGCAAAAGAGACAAAGAATTATGGGGCAAAACGGTTATGTGATCCAGTGATACAGGATGTCCCTTAATTGATTGCCTTGCAATAGCAGTTTGCAGTTCAGGGTTTTAGTTAAGGAAGAAATTTCTCAGCTGTCAAGAATCTTCTAAGTATGCTGTTATGGTGACTGAATTTACCAGGTTTCTTCCATAATCAAATTTTTGACCACTGCAAATATTCTGAATACTTATGCACTGCTTTGTTCTGTCATCATTGTATGATAGCCTGAGCCTGAAGATTAGGATGTAAAGTGCCAGAGCTATTTTGATATTTGATGCCTTTGGTCATGTGGGCATGGTCGCAGTATACTAGTATGACCCCTAAAGCCTTTACCTTCAAGCTCCATAGCTTCTGACTCATGATTTCATGCATCTGTCATCCAAAGTATCAGCAAGAAAAGGCTGTAATGTTATTTTAATAAAAAAATTAAAGCTATGTGATACCTGGGAGAAAATCTTTGGATATCTGAGCCCAAGTCAATTCTCATTTCCATCCTCATTATCAATAACTAGCTTTCATTCATTTTTCACAAGCTTTTTTTTATCTTCTTTGTAACTTCTAGAAAGTTGAAATGGGCTAAATCTAGTCTCTAACTTCCTAATGGTTGAAGACATAACACTTATGAGAAGAGAAAGGTCAAAAGAGGGCAATGGGCTTATCAACAGGCCTTGGTAATAAGATGGGGTAAGGAAAGGTGTGGCAGCTAGGTGATGTAGTAGATAGAGTGCTAAGATTGGAATGAGAAAGACTCTTCTTCATGAATTCAAATCCAGCCTCACATACTAACTGGCTGTATGAACTTGGGTGAGTCACTTAATCCTGTTTACCTCAGTTTCCTCATCTGTAAAATGAGCTGAAGAAGGAAATAGCAAACCACTTCAGTGTCTTTGCCAAGAAAACTCCAAAAGGGTTCATGATGAGTCTGTTATGACTTAAACAACTGAGCACAAAGAAAGGTATAATTGTTCTTCCTATGCCCACTGAGGACAGGGCAGGATAGAGTTAAATTGGGACAGATTAAAGTTAGGCATGCAGAAATCTTTTCCAATTTTATCAGGTTTCAAGAAAGACAGATATTACCAATGGTAACATGAGAATCTTCTTTTGGAAATATTTGTCAATGAAAAGACACTCTCTCTAGACATTGGATAATAAATGCTTATCAGTTTTGTTTTGTTTTGTTTTAGAGGAGGATGGGTTATTGATTTCACAAAGTCCCTTCTAATTTTGTAGTTTTTGATATACTGATATGGGATCTCCTTTGGTCAATTGCCTCAGATAATAGAATTGAGAATCCCAAAGAACTTGGAAGTCCTATGGTATGGGACTTAAAAGCTCATAAGCTTGGAATCATAATAGCTATTCTCTTTTTGATCTAGAACTCTTAGGTCACATTTATCATCAATAAATGAGCATACTCACCTTCATGATGTGAATAATGCTTCATTTTCTCCCTTATGTTAGAATGAAGGCCATTACAAAGAGGCAGCACGGCCTATTGGATAGAGAGCCAATCTCAGAGTTAGAAGTAGCAGAGTTCAAGTACCTCCTCAGACTTACAAATCTGATATATTTGGATGTGTGACCCTGGGCAATTGAGTAACTTCTCACTGTCCCCAGGCAACTCTCTGAGACTAAGCTTTGGAGCAATTGCTGATCTGCAAGTATAGGAGTTCCAGAACTTGGAGCTCCCTGTACAAGTGGGGCAAACTCAAGTAGGGACCATTAAACCATACATAAGGATCCCTGTGGGAACATATTGACTTAGTAAACCATATATTAACATTATGTATGTTATATTGTATTTTAATTTACTTTATTAAATATTTACCAATTATATTTTAATCTGGTTCTGGACACAGAGGACAGTGTTGTGAACTCCATGCACAAATCAGTGATTGTTTGACACCTCTGCCCTATACCAATAAAATCATAATTCCAGTCCAAAATAAAAGCTTAATATGCATCATTTTCCTACTTTATTATTTTTGAATATTCACTGAAGTTCATAAGTGCTTATCAAATATTTTTACAAGAGCAAATTCTAAGTGAAGTGTGTTCATATTACAGATATTAGAAGTGGCAAAGTGGCACCGTAGTGCATAAAGCCCTGGGCCTGGAGTCAGGAAGACTCCAGTGTTCAAATGTTACCTCAGACACTTGCTAGCCTCATTTTGCCTGCATTTTTCTCAATTCCCTCATCAGTAAAATAGAGATAATAGCACCTACCTCCTAGAATTATTGTGAGAATCAAATGACATAATAATTGTAAAGGTGTTTACCACAGTGCCTAGCACATATCAGATGCTATATAAATGTTAGCCATTTGTTATTGTGGTTATTATTCTAATTATATCAGTCCTAGATGCTATATTAAGACTTTTTAAGTCTTATTAGATTCTATATTAAGACTTATTAATCATTTAAGTTAATATGCTACTTTGGTTTATTTTTCTGAATTTACTCTTGAATAGATAGCCATCATTCATCATCTTAGATTCCCTGAAGTGCTCTGGGATTTACCGGTTGATGTCTGGATTCTCTCACTGTTCCCAAATGATTCACAACTTATCTTCAAAGGCAGAATTCCACCTTCACTCTCTCTTACACAGGCATCCTCCTGTATCAGCAACATGTGTCATCAGTGTCCTAAACTTACCTATAAAGGGAACACATGAGTGTATTTCTGCCCAGACAGTTTTTCTAGCAAGACATTTGTCATTTTCTATCACTAGACAATGAGTCCTACACATTCAAACCCCATCAAGGCAGCTCTGTTTATCCCTCCATGCTATATCAGGCTGTAGTCATCTCTAGTGGGAAACTGAGCTCTCTGCTCATTAGAGGATCAGGAGAGTGCAGGCTGCTGTTTCCATTCCAGTGGGTCTGGGGCCAAATTCCCTGTGTCTTTTATTCATCAATGTCAGTTTGGCTAAGAATGCTGTCTTCTAACACAAACTGTTAGTTAATATAAGGAGGAGGCTCACTGAGAGGCAGAGAAACTGAAGTTAGTAATAGCAAGATCAGTAACAGTAACACTCTTACCATTGTAGCTGTTGTTAAAGCAGTGCGGGGGGGGGAGGTATTTTGGCACCACATAAACCATGGTAGTGAATAGTGAGATAGTTTCTTTTCACTTTAATACTGCTCAGATATCCTTGTGGAGTCCCTTAAAATAATGAAGCTTGCTTTCCCATTGATTTGAGCCATAGATGGTTACAAATAGCTCCAGTATTATGAGAATTGGGTGCTGATGTTAAGACATCAAAATTTTATCTTATTAATGCTTACAAGTTCAAGAAAACTATTTTACAGATAGGGTATACACAGGTAACAATTATATGAGTAATTTATTCAGAAACAAAACTCCTGAAACCTTAACCTTAACCTTCTAGGATCTATTATTTTAAGAACAAGGCTCAAGAAGTAATAGCAGAAAGATAGAATAAAAGAAATTGCTTTTATGAAATTGCTCAGTAGTATGATTTTGGTAATTATACAATAGAAAGGAACTTTTGACATTAGAGAGAAGTCAATGGTATCTGAAAATACCTCATTGAAAAGAAAAATGTCTATGACTATTCTGAAGAATCCATCATGTCCAACTGCTTGCGACCGCATTAGGGATTTTCTTTGCAAAGATACTAGAATGGTTTGCCATTTCCTTCTCCAGCTCATTTTAGAGATGAAGAAATTGAGGCAAACAGGGTTAAGTGACTTGCCCAAGGTCACACAGCTAGTAAGTGTCTGAGGCCAGATTTGAATTCAAGTCTTCCTGACTCCAGGCCTGGCACTCTATCCACTATGCCATCTAGCTCCCTTCTATATCATAACAAGACATAAAAAGAAGAGGGCTTTAGTGAAGGAATATTTAACACAGCTCAAGATGGTGGATAAATTTTTAGAAAGTACTCTGCTTATGATCACGTGGGGAATTTGTCCTTGGTTTTACAATAATTGTTCATATAAAAACAATACATTAAAAATTTACATGGATGGAAAATGAGGTTTTGAAAGTATGTGTTATATACATGATATCTCAAGGTTAGAAAGTAGCAGAGCTGGGAGTAGTTGTACTGTTTTGCTTGTGGTCTTCTGACCTTTCATTTTCTCCCCTTAGGATATATGTAAAGCACTGTGGTGCCATCGAATTGGAAGAAAATGTGAGACAAAATTTATGCCAGCTGCAGAAGGCACTATTTGTGGTCATGACATGGTAAGAGTAATTAATTGTCAAATAGCATTGAGTCATGATGTATATGCTTTTGCTCCACTGTCCTTCCTTCTCCAAAAATACATTGGGATGTGCATGACTTTCTTCTCTTCTTTTTTCCTCAACATATACTGTCTGCCTCTCTGTCAACCCTGACCCCACCCCCACTCCACTCCTACCATAAGCACCCAGAGGTAGTGTGTAAATCTATTCAATCTTATATTGAGGCTATCATAGGACCATGGATTCAGAACCAGAGGGGATCTTAGAAGCCATCCAGTCCAAACCCATGACTTTACAGACAAGAAAACTAAGGCATAGGAACTTAGGTCATCCTGACTCAAGTCCAACACTTTAACCACTAATCCTAAGGGATCTTGCTGTCACCCACTAATATTCTACTACCATATCCATAAACTCTGAAATTTCTCTATCTGACCACATCATTTTATCTTTCCCTCTACTTTTCAACACCAAACACTGTTCTTTTAATATATATATGTATGTATGTATATATATATATATATAGTTTTAGTTTTAGTTTTCAACATTCACTTTCATAAGATTTTGAGTTTCAAATTTTCTTCCCCTCTTTTCCCTCCCCCTCCCCAAGATGGTGTGAAATCTGGTATAAGCTATATATGTTCAATCATATTAAACTTATTTCCACATTAGTCATGTTGAAAAGAAAAATTAGAACCAAAGGGAAAAAACCATGAGAAAAAAAAAAGAGAAAGTAGTATGCTTAAATCTGCATTCAGACTCCATTGTTCTTTCTCTGGATGTGAATAGTGTTTTCTATCATAAGTCTTTTGGAGTTGTCTTAGATCCTTGCATTGCTAAGAAAAACTAAGTCTATCAACATTGGTCATCTCACAGTGTTGCTGTTTCTGCTAACATTGTTTTTTGTCAGGTGATAGTGACCTTCAGTACCTCAGTTCTTTCCCAAGCTATTACCCCTACACTGACTGTTTCCCCTTTCCTTCCCTATTTCAACCCTTTGATGAGTAAATTCAAATGTGCATAATTCTCTATACCAAAATCTCTTGTCTGTTTGTCCTTTTGCAAAGCATGCTTTTCCAAACCTCAACTTTGGATTATATATACCATATACCACCTTTCTCTCCTGTACCTGTGCTACTGAACAAGGGTGAAGAAAATCACAAAATCAAGTTGACTGGGTCCACTACAAATTCATATTCATTGTGCTTTCATTGCAGCAAGGTAATCCTTTTTATCTCCCTGATCAGTTCACTCTCTCACTCAACAGAGCAGCTATTCCAAACCTTTTCATCCTTCCTCAAATCACCCATGGTATCCCCTCCTCTCCCCTCTCAGGTGAGCACTTTGCCTCATACTTCACTAAAAAAAAATGGGGACCATTTGCTATACTCTCATCTCATATAACTTAGCCATCTTCCCCTACTGTCTCCACTTTCACCCTTTTCTTGCATAAATAGGTGATGCTTGTCCTTTCCAAGAACAATGTATCCTCTGCAAGTACCCATCCCCATCTTTCAGCAGATCCTTTTGTCTCTCTCTGTCTCTCTCTGTCTCTCTCTCTCTCTCTCTCTCACACACACACACACACACACAAACACACACACACACACACATTTTCTCTGACTCCTTCCCCATTATATACAAACATACTCATATTTCCATCTACCTCTGCTAGCTATCATCCTACATTTCTTTTCTCCCTTTCAGTGAAGCCTGAGAAAGACATTTATGATCAGGGCATCATTTCTTCTTTTCTCACATGTAAGCCTTCTGCAAGCTGGCTGCTAACCTCCTCATTTGACTGAAGCTAATCCTTCCAAAGTCACCATTGATCTCTTAATCGCCAAATCCAATGATCTTTTCTCATTCCTCATCTTTCTTAACTTCCCTTTCACCTTTGATATTGTGAATCTCTCTGGTTGTGCTCTCCTCTCCAGGGTTTCATGGCTGCTCTCTCTTGGGCTCCTCTTACCCATCTAATCATTCTTTCTTAATCTCCTTTGCTGGTACTTCATGTAAGTCATACCCATTAACCATGGGTTTCATGAACCCTTTTCTCTTTTCCCTCTATACTCTTTTCCACTCTGAACTCATCAACTTTCTTGAATTCAATTTTCATCTCTATGCACATGATTCACAGATCTATATACCTAGCCCTAATCTCTCTCCTGACCTACAGTCTTGCATCACTAACCAGCTTTTGGACATCTTTAACTAGATATCTCATAGACATCTGAAACTCAACATGTCCAAAATAGGTCTCATTTTCCCCTCCCAAACCTCTGCCTTTCCAAACTTCCCTATTATTATCAGTGATACATCTGGCCTCCTAGTTACTCTGGCTCACAATGCAGGTACCATCTTCATCTTTTCTCACACTCTATATATCTAATCTGTTTGCCAAGTATTGTCATTTCTACCTTCACAACATCTCTTATTTATATTCCCTTATCTCCACTCACCCAGTCACCACCCTGGTGCAGGGTGTCATCACCTCACATCTAGACTATTGCATTAGCCTCCCTATTCCAATCATTTTTCTCTCAGCTGCCAAAATGATTATCCTAAAGCATAGGTCTCACCGTGTGAAATAGACCCCTTCAGTAAATGCCACTGGTTCCCTATTACCTCCAGAATAAAATATAAAATGTTCTGCTCAACACTTAAAGACTTTTTCAACCTTTTATCCATCCTATCTTTTAGTCTTCTTATACTTTACTCCCCTTGACATACTCTATGGTCTCATGACATTGATCAATTTGATATGCCTAACACATGGCATTTTAATTCCTGATTCTATGCTCACACTTCATGTCTGTAATGCTTTCCCATACTCCCTAGTTTCCTTCAAGATTCAACTTAAGCCATACTTTTTATACAAAGCTTTTTCCAATCTTCCCCACTGATAGTGCTTTCCTTCCAAGGTTATCTTCCATCTACTCCAAATACACTTGTATATATCTCTTATCTATGTCTCTATGTATATATATGTGCATATTTTACACACACACACACACACACACACACACACACATATATATCTAGAGAGAGAGAGAGAGAGAGAGAGAGTTATTTGTATGTTGTCTCTCTCATTAGAATATTGAGCTCCTTGAGGGCAGGGATGATGCTTTTGCCTTTCTTGTATCCTCAGTGCTTAGCATAGTGGCTAGAACATAGTAAAGGCTTATTAAATTCTTGTTGATTGACTGATCTTAATTATTTTAAGATAAGACTTCACATTTATCATTTCAAGATAATAGAATTTGCAACCAATGTGAAAGGAATATGTTCCCCCTGAATATTGGTCAGGCAGCTGATGAGAACTCTATCTTGTACATTAAAAAAGAAAATGGAAATATTAAAGCACTGACTTGGCCATAAGAGAATAGCAGCATTAAATAGTGCTTTTCATCCCTAGAGCATAAAGAGTTCATCCTGGACATACGAAGTCAATCCAATTAATTTATTGCACATAGATGGATAGGAAGCATAAAACAAAAGAGCTTATGAGAAAACATGAGAGAGCTAGATGATAAAATGAATTTCTATATGATGCACATACTAAGTAGTCATATTGTAGAATATTACTCTTGCCATTAGGCCCTAAAAACTGAACTCCGATAACAGTGCAAGAGTACACTCTTGTCCCCTCCTACTTCCCTCTTTTTTACTTTGATCTGAAAATACATTTTCATTTCAAACCATGAGACCATCCATGAAGACTGTTCAACCCAAAACACTGAAGTAAAGCTAGATGCCCTTTGTTGAGTTTCTTTGGTTACGTTGTTTTTGAGTGATGTTAGCTTCAAATTTGAAAAATAAGTATTTGATCTATTAGATTCAAACTCCCAAGCATGCAACTATCACATCCTGTGCATATTTCAAGGTGACTGCAGACAGATATGAACATCAAAGCTGATATGTGCTTTTTAGGTTTCATGATTACAATAATGATTGACAGGCAGAAAAGAAAAGAAGCACTCTTGTCCAAGAATAATATGTGAGAGCAATTAATCCCAAGTAGGTTAACTTTAGTGTAAATCAAATGTCATCCATTTCATGTTTGTTGACTCCTTTAACTCAAGAGTTTATATGACTGTGTGTTAGTACAATTCCTTCTTGTGAAGTGGGTAGCCATTAAATGATTTAATCCATAATGAAAACAACAAATTGAATACATGTCACTTGTGGTTTCTTTAGGACACCAACTCTACATGGCTGATACTTGGAAAATTCTAATTGGAAGGGGAAAGTGAATAGCTTGCCTTTGTTTTTAGCTGGATAGGATTCCTTGCCCCTTATAGATGGCCAGGTTTTGTTTTTCAATGTGAGATTTTGCAGAAAGGTGAGCACTTCTTGGGTGGCTCACAGCCTTTCCTTTTGAGCTCATGAATCCTTATGCATCTCAAGCGTGTAGTTGGAGTACTTTGCTTTTTTGTTGCTTTTCCTTCTGTAGGTAACTTTAGTGCTCCAACCATCTGCCTACAGTTAAAATGTAATTATAATAGGAATCCCAAGGGTAACACAGATGCTCAGTTGAAATTACATTGACCTTCATGGCACAGAGTAAGACCAATTTCTTGATATTATAGAGACTTTTAATTCCTGGGAGTAATGTATATTCTGAAATACATCTCAAACCTTAATTTCCTCTGCATCATCTGCACACCTAGAATCATTTGGTCTGCATTTATGTTTAAGCAATTGAGGGAAAAAAATCTGTATTTCAAGAAATAAATGGCTGCTAGGTAAATTTGGGGGAGCGGAACAAGGATCATTTAATGAGTCAGTATATCATAAAAGTGTGTGAAATGTCATATAAATAAATGTTGAGATTTGATTTAATATTTAAAATTTAGTTCTTCAGAACTGAAGGATTACAATTACCCTCATGTTCATTCACTCAAGAAATATTTGTCAAGTGCCTACTATGTACATAATATGGCAGGCACTGTGGGTAAATGCTTTGGGCACCATTGTTAATATTGGAATATAATTATTTAGTGCTTCAAATGATCTCTTTTAGTCTCAAGTTGAAAAAAAGTCCTACTCTGTTAATCAGTCATGGAGCTGATTCTAGGTCATTAAAGGTTGTACCAGTGAGGAACAAGCTTGAGAAAACTCTACCAAGCCCAAAAGACTTTTTTTAAATCTCATTGGCAAACTAAGTCTGTTGCCTAGCTAAGTGCAGAGGAGCTCAACATATGTGGGTTGGCCACTTAATGATGAATTCTTTGGCCATGGCAACCTATGAAGTGGTAATAAAATAATTAAATAACAAAGATACTGTATCAGAGCCTGAATCAGCAATTTTGACAATATGTTCTATTAAAATTTAGAAGTGAAAGAGCTCATTGTGGGTCAAAGTGGTAAGCAAAGACCTTACAAAGGAGCTCCAAGATGAGCTGGGCCTCAATAGATGGATAGAATTTGTATAAGTCCAAAATTGAAGTAGGCATTTCTTAGATGAGAAAAGCCCCAGAGGGAGGAATACAAATAAAGGAAGGTTTGGATGATTGACTTCAAGAAGCCTGTGCTGATTGGAGAAGGGGTTACATATAGAGGAGTAGGAACAGATAAGGTCTTGAAAGAAAGGCTAAGGAATTTGTACTTTATCCTGCAATTAATAAAGAGCCCCTGAAAGTTTCTGAAAAAAAAATGGAATAGCATGATGCAAGCTGTGCTTTAGGAAATGTATCTAGTAGCAGTGATCAGGATAGATTTAAGGCAGGGTAAGCTGATGAAGACTTAAAATTTGAACTAGAGTGAGGATGGAGAAGGAAGAATAGACAGGACATTAGGACTAATGTAGAAGCTTAAAGAAGTACTGACTGAAGATTAAAATGACCCTAAAATTTTGAGCCTGACTGGCTAGGAAAACGGAAGCACATTTGAAAGAAACAGCATATTTAAGACAAGAAAGAGGAAGGGCAATGGCAGGACATTCAATTAGAGAAGTACAACAGCCCAGGAGACACAGAGGGAACTCAGAAAAGAGGAGGAAAACGTAGAAAGCAAAGAGGAAAGTCAGTTGTGGTGCATGTTTATAATCACTGGTATTGCCGAGGCTGAGGCTGATGGATCTCTTGAACTCAGGAGTTCTAAACTGTAGTGAGGTAGGTTGGACAGGGGTCAGCAATCAGTTCAGAATGAATATGGTAAGCTGCGGGCAGTGGGGAATGGGGTTGGGACACACCAGGGGAAGGAGAGGGGAGAGGGAATAAAATAAAGGGAAGAGCAAACAGCCAGGGAGTCAGAAGAAGAAACAGGAGAATGTGATGTCTTAGAATCCAAGGAAAATTTAATTTCTAAGAAGGCAGACATCACAGAGAAGGCTGTCCCAAATCAAAGTTCTCCTGTGTTTCACAATCTCTGTCAAGTTTTATGTGAATTTTTTTGGTCATTTTAATTGGGGTTTATTTTTGGCTTTTGGAAAGAAGCTAATGAAAAAGACTTTGCTCACAATAATGGCATGTTTTAAAATCAAAGTCATTTGTTTTCTGCAAATATTTCGGATAATATTTTCCTTAGAAAGAAGTAAATTGCTTTCTTTTTAAATATAAATCAGAGGAAGTTTCTACCTTAAGGATAGCAGGCTTTATGCCTAACTAATGCTACAGCCAGGCCATGACAGGTGTAAGGCAAGACTGTGGAGTACCCCCTTCTCCTTTTGACACCTTGCCAGGGCTCAGACAAACTGATAAGGTTCTTTAATATTTCCAAAGCAGAGTCAAAAGTGTCAGAGCCACCAATGAAATAAATTGTAAATCCTAAATATCACCTACAAATAACAGAAATAAAAATTGCATATATCTTACTGAATTTGATTGCCGTTTAGTTCTCTTGAGAAAATAGCACTGATAACATCTCAAGTGGTGTTTGGGGATAAATGAAATTCTATCTGAATTGTTTTATCTTCTGGAAAAGCTATGTGACCTTGAACATGCCAAGAGCTAATAACTTGGAGGCACAGAAACCAGGTGTTTTAAAATGAAAGTATAAAGGCAGTGGCCTATAATTACAAGGTGCTGAACCATATGGTTAGAGTTTTCCACTTGAGAGTGGGCTTTTACCTAAAAGAAGATATAGAAAAGGCCTTGTAATTCCCTGACCTGAATTTACAATAGAGGTTACAGTTCACTGTACTGAAAGTTGAGAAGGCAGGTGCTGTGGGTTGGTATGTGTGTCTCTGTTTAACCCCTACAAAAGAATAAATCAATTCAGTCCAAGCTATATAACTGCTAAGGTATCTGAAAACAGTTTTCTAATGTATATTTTACACCTATTTTCATGTGATATTGAACCAGAATTTGTAGAAAGCTGATAACTTAAGAAAAGTAATAATATTATTGCTAACATTTTTATAGTGTGTACTATGCCAGGCACAATGCTAAGTGCTTTAGCACCATTTTATAACTCAAAATAACCCTGGGAGGTAGGTACTATTATTATCCCCATTTCTTAAATGAGAAAACTGAGGCAGACAGAGGTTAAGTTACTTGTCCAAGGTCATACAACCAGGCAGATTTGAACTCAGGACTTCCTGACTCCAGACCTGGTACTCTATACACTGTGCTAACTAGCATCATTTAAGTATTCTCTCCTATAAGCTCCTTGGAGGCAGATGTCTCTATTTTCTATGTTATGCTAACTTCTACAGTTACTAGGTTGATGATTAAAGCCACTTAAATAGATGTTACTAGTGAATAACACAAGGGTAAAATATCATATCGGAATTCTTTAATTTTGCAGTGGTGTCGTGGTGGTCAATGTGTGAAATATGGTGACGAAGGTCCCAAGCCAACCCACGGACACTGGTCAGATTGGTCTAGTTGGTCTCCTTGTTCTAGGACATGTGGAGGAGGAATATCTCACAGAGATCGTCACTGTACCAATCCAAGGTAAATAATCATTTTTATTCTTCCTTCAAAATTTGAAATAGTTTCTTTTTCTGATTTCTAAATATTTGAATAATCTCTTCTTACCTCAGAGACATGGGTGAGGTCTTGCCAGGGCAAATAAAGTGACTAACTTTTCCTAATGTGTGTTTCCTTCATTAGGGCACAGTTTCTTATAGTAGATCATAGTTGATTAAAACCATACTTCTGAAATATTGACTGCACATTAAATCAAAAAGTATCACATTCACTCAGAATAAATATCTATGAAATTAAGAATTTCTATCAGATTAAATTAATAGAAATTAAGGTTTAAAGTGGATAACTCCTACATAGAATCTCAGATAGTCCACAAAGAAAAGAGGAGTCTTATATCTTCTTTTTTACATTAAAGATTGAACAATGAAGGCAATGAGGACCTGGAAAAACCTAGTAAAATATAAACAAATAAAACTTCACCAATATCTTGATTTACCAACTAAGGTTTGTATGCAAGAGGTTAGAAATGTACCATGTAACTAATTTCATCAGTAACTCAAAGATGTTAGGGTTTTTACCTGTTAGACAAAAAAAATCCAAATATTACTTCTGGTCAGTGCTCAGTTCTGTGAGATTGATTTAAATATTTTGCAAGTCAATAACATTCTGATAAAAATTACATTATATTTGCCTAGAATTATAGCAGTATGTAAACTAGAATGCTGCCAATAGACTATAAATGGTTGACTAACTTTCCCCAAAGTTCTAATTATCAAGGCATAATTAATTCCAATGTTATTTTTTTAATTTAGTTTAGTTAGGAATTTTTTCAAAGAGAAAATGCAAAAACAAGTGATGTGAGGTGACTTCTTTGTGCTAATTTGCCAACTTTCCCTTTTAGAATCTTTTAGACTTTTATGTTAATAAAACACAAGTTTCAAAAAATACTCCCTTCCCTCCTAAAGACAAATATCTTAATATGAACCTCTTTTAGGATTTATAATCTGCTTATTTTGTGAAAAACAAGCAAACAAACAAACATTGTGAACAGAATGAATGATCATTTCTACCAAGTATTTCCCCCCCAAACCTTTAAGATCTTATAGCAACCTAATAATAACAAGATAAAACAAAAATTAAAATTGTGATTATTTCATAAATACCTTATGTGAATCCATCTGATTGGGATGTTAAATGGCCTCCTATAAAGTCTCATTGGAAATGGAATGGGTTATATACCTGTCTAGGGAGATAGAGAGGAATGCAAAAATAAAATGAATAAGTAACAATCAAATTCACTCTTTTCTGTTATTTTCACTCAAAATAAAGCATTTCACATTGTTTAATCTCATAAGGTAAAACAATTCCAGGGGCTCATGTAGAAGGAAGACATCAAAGTGTGTGGGTGTATGAAAACAACAATTTGTATGAGGGGTTGGGGGACTGGGGAGGAAGGGAGCATATTTATTCAATTTGTGTTCTAAGGAATAGCTTCATTATTTAGCATCTCTGTGTCCAGGACTAAAACATAACAGATAGGCCTCAGGAAAATTATTATTTATAATCACACTAATTCACTGTGATCATTACAAACTTATGCCTTACTCTGGGTTCGTGTCCAGAATAATTCTAAATCTTATAAACAAAGAAAGAGAGATAGTATTTTTATATGATTTTAAACCAGAATTGTTCTTATTCTTTAAGGCCTGGAATCAATTATTGCCTTTTCTTTTGGTTCCTTGCATTAAATTGAGACAATCCCATTTCTATAAGTAAGAACATGGTATAATAGATAGAGGGCTAGCCTTGGAACCAGGAAGACCTGGGCTCAAACATCTTCTAGCATGGACTAGATTTATAACCATGGGCTGGTCATTTTATCTAATAGTGCCCCAGTTAACTAGATAATTGGCATTTTAGCAGATAAGTAGACAAATATTCATGGAGGAAGGAAGTTCCCACCTTGAAATTCCCTCAAATCAAAAATTACAGGCCCTGCCTATATACTGCTTCACACAGACCCTCACACAAAAAATACCCCTCACAACAAACATGCTTGAAGTCAGTTAAATAGCTTTTGTTTTATATACTTTTATTTCACTTTCAAAATTTGAAGACTGTAGTCATTTCATGAGCTCTGACACTCCAATAGCCCTTTTCTTGAGGAATTGAGTTGTTGAAGTATATTTGTATCTATGGGAAAATGTACAAATCTTATATTCAACCTATCAACACGTTTTAAAAAGGACTGTTAAACGTGTATTTCAGGCCATCACATGGAGGAAAATTTTGTGAGGGTTCCACCCGGACACTGAAACTTTGTAACAGTCAGAGCTGTCCCCAGAATAGCATTGACTTTAGGACCATCCAATGTGCTGAGTACAACAGCAAGCAATTTCGAGGATGGTACTACAAGTGGAAGCCTTACACTCAAGTAGAAGGTAAATTTCAAAGCAAACATCAATAGTAATTATATTCTATACCAGCATCCTTTTCTGTTTGAAGATGACACCATCTATGACCTTGCTATAGAGTGTGACTCAGACCTTTTGTTTTCCACCTGGTATCAATGACAACAATGTCATGGTCCAGTCTCAGAGTGGATTGTTTAACTGGTCTGTTTCAAAACCACTCACGATGTTCCTAACCTTATCTTACAAAAGGAGTCCTGAGGGGCAGCTAGGTGGCACAGTGGATAGAGCTCCAGCCTTGGAGTCAGGAGGACCTGAGTTCAAATCTGGCTTCAGACACTTGACACTTACTAGCTGTGTGACCCTGGGCAAGTCACTTAACCCCATTGCCCAACCTAAAAAAGCAAAAAGAAGAAGAAGAAGAAGAAGAAGAAGAAGAAGAAGAAGAAGAAGGAGTCCTGAGTAGAAAAGTAGATGTAGATAAGGAAAAATTCTTCACAGCTAGTGGGAAAACAATTCCTGGAGCTGTCCATACTGATGATGGGTCACAAGTGTAAGCTTTTGTCTGAAAGACCAAAAACATTGTTACAATTTTTCTTGTCTTCTTGTCAACGGCAACCTAGGCAGATTAGCAGAATGAAATGTTAATAATTACATGCAGATATTTTCTTAAATCTGATAAAAATGCTATCATACAGTGTTTGAAGCTTTTCAATATGTGGATAGAAGTCAAGTTGCCTATTTTTAGCATGTACAGGAATCAGCCATTAGGAATAGATAGGACATATTGTCCCCTGACATTATTATGGTATGACAAAATGAAATTAGTAGCAGATATACAGAAATTTCATTGAGGAAGAAATTCCAAAGTGACTGTATTCCTTGCATGGCCTGAAACCTTATGTATAGGAAAAGATATCATGGGGATGGGAACAATGTATATCAAAGCATACCTAGCAAGTATTTAATCAATGTTTCTTCAATTGAATGGAATTCAATTGATCCTAGAAGGCCAGTTGTTTACTTTTATCAGAACAGTTTATGCAATTTTCCATACTGTTTGAGTTTCTGAGTAGAGCAAGTGTTCAAGGGAAAATTGAAACAAAGCAGTTCTAAGTCATCCTTTTTTGTCTTCAACCAAACCGAAACTATATGGTGATTGTGTAACAAACTGGAAAAGTGATAGAAAAAATTCTGGCCTGGAGCAGGATGAGGTAGGAGACTTGGCTTTTAGCCTGAGCTTGGCCATTAACTGCTTGTGTGATCTTGGGCAGGTCACTTAACCTTTCTAGGAGTGACTGAAATTCTTCATCTGAAAAGTGAAAGGATTAAGCCAGATGAACTGTGAGACCCTATCCAGCTCAAAAAGTGCTATAATTCTACAATAATCAACTCCTTTAAAAATTCTTTTTCCCATGGTAACAGAGTCTATATTTAATATTCACACAATTCCTAGTATATCCCAGCTCTTTTACTTAACAAGGAAAGAGCATGGATCTTAATACTGAACCCTATGGAAATTCTTCAGACAGCATTAAGACTTGATGGCCAAATGTTCTCTCTTTACTAGGACAAGGCAAGGGAAATAGATTTATATTAGACCTTATTTTGACTGTGCAAGTTGTTAAAATATTGGAATGGATTACTGCAAGAAGGTTGTAGACTTTCCTTGCAAGTATTTAAAAATATGACAGTACTTATGTTCTCCACATAACAGTATTTTTTTCTCCCAAATCCAAGTTTGTATAAAGCACTATACCGGGGAGATTTCATCTACATAGTTTTCCCTTTATCAGTGTAAAAGAACCCTCCATCTAATTTTATGCATATATTATGAAGCAGCTCAGTGGTTATTCTATGGAATTTTATTGTGCATTTTAAATACCTGAATATACCTGCATTTTGGCAGAGATTCTTAAAAGGGGGATAGAAGTGAACACTAGTAGGTGTAAAGAATATTACAATATTTTAGTTTAATAAAGTTTTAAGGAAGAAGAAATTATGGCAAAATTTGGAAACTTGAAATTTATAATGAAATACTATACTTGGGTTATTTCCTAGAAATATCTGGATATTATCTCAATTTAAGAAATTACCCCCATGCCAAATTTCAGATATATGATCATAGTAAAGTAAAGTATTTTTCTTGTTTGTGTTTTTCTCTTCTTTTCTTAAGATCAGGACTTATGCAAACTCTATTGTATCGCAGAAGGATTTGATTTCTTCTTTTCTTTGTCAAATAAAGTCAAAGATGGGACACCGTGCTCAGAGAACACCCGTAATGTGTGTATAGATGGGATATGTGAGGTAATAATGATGAAAAGGTATTCTATTATAAACTTAATTTAGCTACTCAATTAAGATGCCATTTCAGATACTAGAACTGCAAGCAGTAACATTGAATTGTTGATGATTAAGTACTAGTTTTAAACTTAGGGGAGGGAAGTCAGAAATACTGGGTTACACTCCCAAGTCTGTCATCTAATATTATTATGCCCTTAGGCAATTGCACAGAAAATCTCAGGGTCTTTGTTTTGTTGTTAGAAAATTGAGAGAGTTAGGACTAAATAATCTATTAGGTGTCTTCCAGATCCAAAATTCTGTAATTTACAGATGTTTTCTGTCCTCCCATTTCAAACTGATTAGTCAAATATGTCATTCCTTTTAGATCTTCTAATGAATTATTTCATAATTTTTTTGTCTTTGATTATATGGTAAACTGCAAAGAGGCATAGTATGAAGGACAGTAAAGATTTGTGAAAAAGAGAATTTTTCAAAAAATAATGTAGAAATTCTTTCACCACTTTGATGAGAATCATTTTCATGTAGAATCAAATATTTCTCTGTACATACTCTACAATTATATAAAACAGTACCATTATCTTATGTGAAATAAATTCCAACCAATGATCTAGTTGATATTCTCTGGGCCTCACCTTATTCTGTGTCCTTACAAAAATGCATAATAAGAAGAATTCACTTAAGGCTTGAGATAATGTTGATATGTGGCAAATTTTATGGGGGTAAAATAGGTCTTAAAATTTTAGGGTTTGAGTATTCATTTATATGGGTATAAGAATTGTAACTGCTATGTTCACAGCTACTTAATACATACTTTTTTGATGATTTGATTAGGCAATGTAAATTTATTAATATTTTTGTGCAAAAAAGTACTGGGAAGGAGTATATTCTCATGATTTTTATAAGCTTCTTGAGGGCAGGAATTGTAATTTTCTTTTGTTTTGTTCCTGTACCTAGAATGGTATATGTGCTTAATAAATGCTTATTGACTTGAAATGGATGGAATTGAATATTTTGCTTATGTTCTGAGAGGCAGCATAATATAGCATAACTAGAATGCTGAACTGTGATTCAAGTTAACCTGGCTTCAAGATAACTTCGCTTTTGATACTTACTAGCTGTGTGACCATAGGCAAGACATCTTACTCTTCAAAGGCTCAGTTTCCTTGTTGATAAAACAGAGATAATAATAAACCTAGTAGCTAAGTTTTTTGTTTGTTTGTTTGTTTTTTTATTAAGGACCAAATGAAATAATGTGTAAGGTACTTTGTAACATTAAAGCATAATATAAACATCAATTCTTCTTCTGCATTTTACAAATAATACGTGATCTCATGTTCTCCAGACAGTCGGCTGTGACCATGTCCTTGGCTCTAGTGCCACTGAAGACTCTTGCGGGGTGTGCAAAGGAAATAATTCGAGTTGCAGACTTTACAAAGGTCATTATGCTAAACACCACTACACGAACCGTAAGTATTTTATAGCCGCTCCCTAGGTTTTCTGGGAGTTTAAAGTTAAAACTTTGGGGGATGTACTTGAAATGAATAGTGAAAGCAGCATGGGGTCCCAGGTTTCAACAGGATCTTATATATATTTTTTTCATTTCCTGCTTTAGATAATGACTCTCAAGTTTTTGTTTTGATTTAAAAAAAAAGAGTGGTTGCTAAGCTATTTGAGTAAAAGTAGATTGTAGGAATAGTCAAAATTACAATAACTCTGCTCCAATTTTAAAAAGTGATTCATAGTTCTAAAGTAAATGATTGCCAAAACAGATATTCATGCTGATTCTAATGTGGAAAGGGCCTCTATGCCCAGGTCTAAGTTACAAAGAACAGAAATACCTCAGTCTTTGTCCTGGCAGTTTTATACAAAAGACTACATGTTCCCGTTTACTTTCACCTAGAGTACTATCAGATAGTCACCATTCCTGCTGGTGCCCGGAGTATTCATATACATGAGATGAATGTATCTACCTCCTATATAGCCGTGCGCAATACTCTCAAAAGATACTATTTGAATGGTTACTGGACAGTGGACTGGCCTGGCCGATACAAGTTTTCTGGTACTGCCTTTGACTACCGACGGTCATACAATCAACCAGAGTCTTTAACCTCTTCTGGACCAACCAACGAAACCTTAGTGGTAGAGGTAATGTCTTGTCTCATGGCTTGGGTGTGTGGAAGTGGAGGTTACCAGAGACAGCACTAAGGATTGCATATTGTTGTTGATTTTGTTAATTCTGAGACATAGTAGTGAATGCCTCTCCTTGTACTATGCATATCTAAATAATGAGAGAATGAATGGTGGTAGAGATGGTGTACTTCTTGGTTAAATTACTGTCAGTTTTAGATTTGATATCATATCCACTGATATATATGTACGCTTTTAAGATATTTTCTGGGCAGATTTTACAGAAAAAGAAAATCTATCAGGCTGCTATTCTGAAATGTGCTCTAAAACATATCAGCACGGTGTTCCTCTGTTGATCCAGTTAAAACAAAATTTGATATAGCACGATCCTGTGTGTGGTCAAAGAGTTTTACAATCACACAGAAATCATTGTAAGTGGGACTGACAGCAGCAACAAACAAAGTCTAAATCCAATGAAACCAATGTATAGGTCTGTATTGGCAGATTTTTGTCATGTATAATCATGTTTGTGGCAAATTTGATTTTCTTTCCAATTTTGTCTCCCTCTGGAGTGGCAGGATTTGGAGGAAAGAGGGCAGTAGCTACTCTCTATTTTTCTACTTCTTCATTTCCTTTCTTTTCCTTCTTTCCATGTGGAATAAAGAAGACATTATACATATACAGATTTTCCCTTGCCACAACATGTGATCTCTGTGATTTCCCTTTTTTTTTCTAATTAGGATTTTGTTCCTTCTGACCAATTATAGGATTTTATCTGCTTTTATTTTCTTTTAAACAGATTTTATTCCTGTTTCCTAGTTATGGTTCATTTCAGAAAAAAAATTTGTAAAAATTCTCTTTTATTATATAAAATTTAGGTAAAAAAACCACATCATTTTCCACACAACATGATATTTTCAGTGGGAATTTAAATAAGATTTTGAAACAGATTTTAAGTGGTTTCAGCCCAGTGCTATCAGACAAAATCAAGAAAACAGAATATATGTCTCCTGGCAATGAGGGAATCTGTAATTTAGTCCAATAATGACAAAGGAGAATGAATAATGATACAGTTATGGGCAGCTTGATTATTCAAAAATATCTGAAATCTGCCCAAAAAATTTAATCTCATTTTTAAAAAGAAGAAATTGCAAAAATATATTACTACAAATGGATCCCTAGTGTTTCATTTTTTATTAGAATAGTGTGATTATGCAGTTGCCCAACAGCAATATCTAGAATAAGCTATTTTGTGGTATTATATGGTTTGACCTACATATAGGCTCTTTTCTGATGCCTTATCATAACACAAAGGAAGAAGCTCTAAAAGATTCTACCAATTTGGAAGGGCTATGAATATATCTGTCTGAAGAACAGTTTAAGCCAGGAATGAAATGGTTTTCTCCTAGAAGGTTGAACCACATGGTGATTAAAGATTACTTTGGACATGGCAGTCCAGTGGAAGGGAATACAAAACTAGCTATTAAGCACTTGTTCAGTCATTTTCAATCACGTCTAATTCTTTGTGACCCTATTTGGGGTTTTCTTTGCAAAGACACTAGAGTGGTTTACCATTTTCTTCTCTAGCTTATTTTATAGACAAGGAAACTGAGGCAAACAGGGTCACATAGCTAGTAAGTGTCTGAGGCCAGATTTGAACTCAGGAAGTTGAGTCTTCCTGACTCCAGGACCTGTACTCTATCCACTGTGTCACCTAGCTGCCCCTATTAAGTACTCCTATGTTCCAAATATTATGTTCAGGGCTAAGTTGCAAATAGAAAGGCAAGAAATTCTCTACTTTCACAAGGAGCTCACTTTCTAGTTAGGGGAGACAACATATACAGAAAGTTTCCATTATGGCAGAGATTAAAAGACCCAGTGGTCCTTAGGGTACAGCATCAAGGCAAATGACAAAATTCAATATTGCAACAATTTAAGAGTACAACAGTAGGTCATATGGCTAATGCCCAAGGGTCTGAAGAAAATCATGGCAGGGCAGAAGTTAAGGCCAAGTGCCCCTGTAGAATATGCATTCAAATTGATGATGGTGGAGTGGTAGAAAAGGTAATAAAAATTCCTAAGAATTACACAATTGTTAGACAATGATTTAGTTATTAGTGATTTTAATTGTGATCTTTATCCAGTAACCAGTGAATTGACACACTATTGAAGTAACTGAACCAAAATTACATTATACTTCTTACAAAGAAAAAAAAAGGTTACAAATAGGGATGTGCAGATGAATGTTTAACAATCAAGCTCTCCAGAAAAACAAGTATGCACACACACTCTTAAATTTAATCTGCATTATTAACAATTTCATAAATCTAGAAATCAACAAAAATCAAGCCCTAATTTTTGGCAGTGAAAAAATTAACAATTGTTTCTTCCAAGCAAGCCAGTTAATTTGGCTCCAGCACACACTGAAAACATAAAGAAATTGTGATAGTCACCAAATCCCATATATGCATGTGTACCTATGTACTTATGTACATACATACCTGGCTAAAGATGTAGATGACATGGTTATCAAATTTGCAGATGCAAGAAATTGGGAAGGAAAGCTAACACATTCAACAACTGGTCTAAGATCCAAAAAAGCTCTTGACAAGCTAAAAAATTAGACTCAGGCTTGTAAGATTAAATTTAACAGAGATAAATATAAAATCTTAAACAAATATAATTAGGGTAAAGTATGACTAGAATTAAATTTGTCTGAAAATTATCTTGGGGATTTAGGAAGTGGCAAGCTCAGTATTAGTCAACAATGTGATGAAGAAACCAAAAATAAAGACTGAAAAAATTGAAATCTTAGGCTGCATTTAAAGGCTAGTGCCCACAGTGAAAGAGGTGACAGTTCCACTATATACTGCTCTGATCACATCATGTTCATTTCTGGCACCTAGAATAGTGAAGGGCCTAAAAATTATGCTGTGTAAATATTGTTTAAAGAAACTAGGATATTTAGCTTTGAGAAGACTTAAAGGGAACATGTTAATTTTTTCATACATTTATGAAAGATGGACCAAAATTATTCTTCTTGGTCTCTCTGAATTAAATTCAGAGCCATTGGTAAAAAAAAAAAAAGGCAAATTTATGACTGATATAGTGAAAATTTTTTAATACTTAGAGCTAGCCAAAAGCAGAATGAGCAGCCTTGGTAACCAATTGAAAGGGTCATAGAAAACATTGGGAAATAATGGGTTTCCTTGTACTAGAAAGCAAAAGTAAATGACCCACTTGTCAGGTATAGTCTAGAGCGGATGCTTATTTCAGGTATAGGTTGGGTTTCTTGCTTAAGCATGGGCTTTTCCCCTTTGCTTATTCAACTTATTGCTCCAAATATGCCTTTACAAGTTTTTATATTAGTTGTACTTGGTACTTTTCACAAGCCACATTTCATTTTCTGTTAATCTTAACTTTATTTTCATAGATTTATGCTATTCCTTTATATTTATCCTTAGTTATATCACCTTCCTCCTACCTTTTTGTTTTCATTCTTTTAAACTCAGAGTTGATATTGCCTATAATTTGTGGTTGTTTATACTGAATTGAAATATTCAAAACTTCCCATTCCTCTTGACCTATAATCCTTTCTGAAGTATTTGTCTTTGGCATCAACCTAGCCCACATCTGGACTTTTTGAAATCTGCTTGAAATCATACTCAAGTGTCTCCTTCCTTTGCATGGTTAAATTGCATGATACATGGTCATTTCTCCCCAAGGTAGATGCCACTTTCTTATCACCAACTAGCTTTCCCTTGTTAGTAAATCCAGAGTAGCAGTTTCCCTTTTTTGCTTTCTCTGCCTTCTGACAGATGCAATTGTCAACAAGCTAATTCAAGAATTTATCATGTGCTCTGCCTTGACAGAGTGAGACTTGAAACAGATGGCCAGATAGCTGGAGAAGTCCCCACTCACTACTCTATCTTGCTTCTGTATGAGTCTGATAATCTATATTTGGAAAGCATCATTCTGGCCAGGCAGGCTGTGTATGCTCCAAAGGTTTCATTATTTTTGTTTATTTCTCCCTTTTTTCCCTTTACTCAAATGCTCTGAACACTCAAGTTTATGGAGATAAAGCCATAAACTATAAAGTTTATTGATTTCTCTGCAAGTGTATACCTGCCTAGCATGCAGTGTGGTTTACCTCTCAGTCTACTAAATCATTTTCTTTTTTTCTAACAAGATATGTGTTTCTCCCGTCTAATATGGGAGATGAGGCAGATAAAGATACAGTCAACATAAATATGTAGATGAAATGAAAGTTATTTCCAAAGTACATTAAGGAGATCAAGGGGTCAGGAATTATCCTGGTGGGATGGAGGATGGATAATATTATAGAAGGAAAATCTCTTGGAGGTAGTAGAACTCAAACAGCAGTTTCAAGAAAGAAATGAACGTGGTTCATTGGAAAGTAAAATGGAGGTGGTCATATGAAACATCATTCAAGTCATATGAAACATCATAGGAAGAGTTCCAGAAGCAGGAAAGTGAACACTGGATTGGAAAATGAAAATTCTGGAAAGTCAAACTTTTCTGGATGAAAATCTGTGGAATGTTTGTTTCAAGAGGGCTATAGAATCTTTTTTAGAAGCTAAGAAATATAGGTAGAGGCTACCTGTGTATACTCAATTTATATGTCATATAACAATCTCCTCCCTTTCCCAGGCATGAATAAACATAAATCAGGAAGGATGACTAAATGAGGCACATCATTCTTACATTTGCTTTCTTCTCCGCTGAGGGCATTTTTATCTCATTGTTTATGAATATTTCGGTATTCAGAGTCATTGGGTATCTCAGGAGAAAGGACAATTCCATCATATTTGTCTATCACTGCAGGTGTGAGATTTTGAATAAAGGAAGTACTAATGGGACAGGAAAGGAATACTGAAGGAAATGGATAAATAAATACAATGAAGAGCTTTTGTTTTATTAAGTTTTTTGAGGGGTAGGGAGTGAAAGGGTGACAAACCCTGAATGACAAAATCATAGCATGTCTGAAATGTGTCCTTTACTGGAGTTGGTGGATCTAGACAGAAGGGCAAAGAATTCTTGTTTAGGTAGCTAATACTGGTTTGATTGGGAGAGCATGATAAATGTATTTTTATTCAGCCTGTTGTCATAGAGTTTTTTTTTAAATCTTGTTTTCAAATTGTGGCATATGTTTAATTCACCTGAATTAATATACTTCTTTCTTTCCTTGTTTTGTTGTTGCTGCTGCTGTTTTAGCTTCTCTTTCAAGGTCGGAACCCAGGAATTAGCTGGGAATATTCAATTCCTAAATTGGAAAATGAGAGGAAGCCTGGATCAAAGCACAACTATACATGGGCCATCATCCGTTCTGAATGTTCAGCTACCTGTGGTGGAGGTAATGCAGTACAGACATCACTGTTTAAGTATATGTATTTATTGAGAACCCATTATGTGCCAGGCCCGGTACTGGGCCCTAACAATAAACTGACAAGAATAAATAAATGCTAAAAGTGTTTACCTTCTAGAGAGGAAAATTATATATACACAGAAAGCATATACAAAAATTATGAGAAGTAAATACAAAATAATCTCATGAATGGGGAAAATACCTACAAGTAAAGATATCAGAAAAGACTTTGGTTGTACCTGACCCCTTGACAAGCTAACAATTCTAAAAGTTGGAGGGGAGAAGACAGCATTCCAGCCATGGGGATCAGCCTGTTCAAAGATACAGAGGCAGATGATGAAAAATTATGTATGAGGAACAGGATGTCAGCTAGGTTAGCTGGCATATAGAATGCATGTGTAATATGTAATCATCCTGGAAAGGTAAGTATATAGTGCCAGTTTCTACCAGTTACCTTTCCTGCTTATGGAATACTCTGTTATAATTTGGGATTAGTGGATAGTTATTTAAATACTTTGTGTTCCTCAAGGAAAGTCCCCCTAAATAGAAACTTCTTAGAGAAAAGTTAATCCATCTAGCAGAGTTTAAGAAGCAAACACAAAGGGAAGGGGGGGAGAGAGATTTCTTTACTGTTTGCAATTATAGAAAATCATCTTATTAAAGTTGGGAAGAACCTATAGATTTATTTTGTCCATTTTCCAAAGATAAGGCAAAGTTCATCTCTATGAATTTCATAAGCTACGAGATATATATTATCTTCCAAGTCTAAATTAACAAAATATGAATCTTTTGGTGAATGTAGGAGCTCTGAATTATGTTACCAATTTCACCTAGGTGTTATGACTTAGAAGAAGTGGCTGAATGCCTGGGATTCTGCTTTCATAAAATTTAATAAAAAAAAACTATCACATAAATTTTGCAGTCTGTGCTTACTCTATGGAACCACTTGAATTATTATGTGCAATATTTTTGAAGGATGGAAGGAGAAAAAACAGAAGCACAGTAAATAATACTAAGAAACAAACTAATAGTCACTGACTTGCATTTTGGAAACAGTTATATCTATATATGTATAACTATATATGTATACATACATATATAGTTATACATACATATATATATTTATACATGTATGTATAACTATATATGTATACATACATATATAGTTATACATACATATATATATATTTATACATATATATAAAACTAGTGAGGAGATTATATATATATATGTATATATATATATATATCTCCTCACTATACTCCCATCCTAAGCCTCTCTCAGCCATATCTTAATTTTGGTACCTGACAACCAATTGTATATTAGAAAGTAGAGATGATTTAGGAGGTAGAGATTAGAAAGGATACCCTAGGGCAATGTTAAAGTGGCTAATTAAAACTTGTATATGTTTGGTTTCTGTGGCTAGCCCTGAGGTATATCCTAGTTCAACTCTGAAACTGATAAGCAGTTGACTCCCACTTTGCTCTTCACTCCTTAATCAACTGCCTGAGGAGAGGGGAAGGAAGAGGAGGAGAGAGAGGAAAGGAGGTAGGCAAGGCTACATCCTTTCTCAGTGTAGATAAAGCACAGCAGTTCTCTGGATTCAGTGGTCAGAATTGTTTAACAAACCTGACTAAGATAAACATGGACACCAGCCAAGACATCTATTTGTTTCATGGAACTGCCAAACACAGGAGTAACATGTACAACTATTGAGATGGCTATGGTGAACTCCAGAGAGGATACTCATTGATTACCTGGATTGTAACCTCATTGGAGATACCCATTCAACACCTTCTCTTTCTAAGTGAAAGTTCCCACTCTGACTGGATGAGCATTTATTCTGTGGCTCCTATTGGAGGAAACATTTCATCTTCAAAACCTCAAAGCACCCCTGACCCTCTTTTACCATGTTAGCAAGAATACCTTGGTGCTTCATTAACATTATCTTTGACAAAAGCCCAAAAGTTCTAACATTTATTATTAGTACTTCAACATGGACTCAACTTATGATAACTTTAATTTGTGAGTTTTCAGTTGTGAAGGAATTGTCTCTTGGCTTTCAGATTTCCTGATGTGTAGTCAATTCTCTACATTACCAGATCCTCCTTATAAATGATCCAGAGGAGCCTTATTTTGGAACTAGTTCTTCACTTCACTGCTTTCTAAACCCCACTGAACTGAAAATCCCAACTCAGACACTGAGACCTTCTGAGAACTGTTGTACCTGACCCCTAATTGCCTCTCTCTTCTACCTTTGCCTTTGCCACATTGACTTGTTGCTTGAATTTCACACGTTTTCCCTCTTTCCCAAGATGACCTAGGTCAACCTGTCTTTTAAGAAAAGTATTTTTAAAGAAAAGGATATAAATTAGAAATATTGCCTGGGCTAAGTAAGTTAGAATGTTATATGGAGAAAAGAATTTTACATAGCCAAATGGGAGAGTCCTCAACTTGTTAGTCTGTCTTAGCTCTCTCAATTTTTTCCTGACTGAAATCATGGCCAACATTATTTACTTATGGGCTGGAAGCCAATACTCCATGTGTAGTTTACTTCATTATGGCCCCCAAAGGAAAATGGCATCTTTCTTGTCCAGAGCATTCCCTATTGATTCAGAACTACGTCCATCCGAGTATTCTGTATTGAGCTCATTTGCCTGTTCCACAATCCCAGACTCTTAGTAAGCCAGGAGGCCTTCTGATTACTGCTGGGACATTTGGGTATTCCACTCACATTCCTGCTTAATCTCTTGGCTATTTTCCCACTCTCATAACCAAGAGAAAAACAAGGCAATACAAATAGGTAAAGCCAATTTTCCCATTACCTAAAAAACAGAGTAATTCAACTTAATGCATATCTTATCCCCAAATTATAAAATATAATGTTTTTCATACACAACACTAATGTGATTTAATTTCTATTCATAACATTAGTTCTCAAGTCCAGTAAGCATTTATTAAGTACCTACTGTGTATTATGCTAGGCAATGAGGTTGCAAAGACAAAAACAAAATAGTTTCCAAACTTAGGAATAGATAAAAGCATGATATTATGAGATACCAATGAGATAATTGATGTGAAAGCATTTTGCAAACCTTAAAGCATTGCATAAATGCCAGTTATTATTAGTATTATTAGCCTGCTATCACCAGGCCTTCAGCATGGTGATATCTGTGCCTTCTACTTCACTCTTGCTCAGCTCAAGCAAGGTTTATAGAGTAACACAGAGGTGTGTTGGTAAATATTTAACAATTAGTATCTCCAGAAGGAAAAAAAAATAGTATGGAAACAAAATTTTAAGTTTCATCTGAAGTATTAATACTTTCTTAAGTATAAACAATCAACAGAACAATAAATCTAACTGTGATTTGTAGTGATTGCTGATTTTTGAGATGTAAATGTTCACACTGCAAACTTAACAATAAGCTCTCAAAAGCCTTCTATCCCTAAAAAAGTGGGAAAATTAGAAAAGGTTTTGCAGAGGAGGTAGCACCAGAGCTGAACCTTATAAGAAACTAAGAATTATTAGAGGTAGGGATGGTAATGGAGTAAATTTAAAGCAAGAGGGGAAAACTTAAAACAAAGAGGCAGTTGATGAAATGCTGGATTCAGGGAAGAGCTGGTAGGCCAATTTGGCTGGATTATAGAATGCATGAAGAGAAGTAATATGAAATGTCTTGAAAGATACGTTTGTACTAGATTCTAGTTTCTTTTGAGCGAAAGAGTGACATGATCATACCTATGCCTTAGAAAGATTATTTTGGTGGCTCTTTGGAGGATAGATTATGGAGAAGAGAACCTGCAGAGCAACCAATTAGGAATTATCATTAATCAATGTGAGAACGAATGAGAAGCTGAATGAGAAGCTGAATGACGGGAGTGGTTTTGTGAATCTTAGCTATGTGAGTGAATCTTCTCCCTGTGTTACAAAAGAAAGAAATGCCAAGATTATAAGAGGAAGGCCTTCCAAGGCACAGGTAAAGATGACTCTGAAGTTATGGATTTAAGTGATAGGAAAGTTTGTGGGAGAGGCTGATTGAGAGGGAAAGATCACAAATTTAATTTTGGACAAAATGAATTTAAGATGCCAGTGGGACATCCAGGCAGAACTAGCACTCAGGAGCACTCAGGTTTGAACTAGAGATGTACTGTTTAAAGTTAAAGCTAAAAATCAGACTTATAGGAATTGGTTATATAACCCAGGGAAATGATAGAAAGAGGAGAGAAGAGGACAGGACAGGACCCAGGATAGAACCAGAGTGATACTAACACTTTACATGCAGGAGGCTTATAATAAAGCAGCAAAGGAGACTGAAAGGGAGTAGTAACATAAACAGAAAGGAACCCTCAGAGCAGTTGCAAACAAGTCAAGGTGGAAGAGATTATCCATAAAAAAATGGTTTACAGTGTTTAAAAATTATTAAAAGAAGTCAAGTAGGATAAGAACAGAGAAAAACCATCAAAAAGTTGTTGGTAACCTTGGAAACAGTAGTTTAATTCAAGTGGTAGAATATGGAGCCAGAATGCAAAAGATTAAAGCATAAATGGAATGTGAGGATGTGGAGGTAATGAATGTAGATTATATTTTCTAGGAGTGGTTTTCTAGAAAAAAAGGGAGAGATCTAGGATATTAGCTTGAGGGGATATATGAACCAAGAAAGGCTTTTATTTGTTTATTTTTTGTTTGTGTTTGTTTAAAGATGAAGGAGCCTGGGCATGTTTACTAAGCTGTGTCAAAGGAACCAGTAAGTAAAGAGAGTTTTAAAATGATGGAAGCAGGGATAGAGAATAATTGAATTATTTAGTTCTTAGAAGAGTAAGAAGGGAATAGGATTAAGGGCACAAATAAAGATTTGGAAAAGCAAAAAAGGCTTACCTTTATTTTAGCAATTGCAGTAAATGAAGAGAGAATTGATGACAATGTAGAAAGGTTTTGAAGTGTAGAGTCGAAAAGGGAGGGTTTATTGTAAATAACATAAATTTTCTC